TTTGTGACAAAAGACTCATTTTTCCTTTAATAGCAATAACTCAATTTCCACTTTTTATAGACTAAGGTCCTATTTCCTGTGGATTGTCACAAGTTTTTATGACACTCCATAATCATATAACATCGGAAAAAAATGAAAAAGAATTTATACGTAGATTCATCATGAGAACGGGGCTTCTATTTACAATAAATTTAAGATAGCTGCCTGAAAAAGTTGAAATTACATACTACTGACTGGCTGCTATTTTTGGCCGATGAAGATATGCACTCATTGTTAGTACAAATGATTTTCTTTCACTAGATTAAAAAATTGTTGGGAGAGAGGGGTTGCCATATGAAAAAAGAAAGTTTGAGAGCAGGGGCTCCCTCAGAAGCAAGAATGCAATTCAGACATCTTGTAAAAGTAATTTTTTCCCCATCGAGAAACATACCCGAGACGTTAAGTATTTACATAGGCTGTACAAAAAGTAATGAGAGGAATGAGCTTGTCAAAAAGTTAACAGTAAGAAAAGGGAGCCTCGCTTCGGAAAGGCCTTCTTCTTCTCTGGGAACCTTAGAATTTCAATGATATGCAGCTAAAATGAACGTTCAGGATGAGACAAGCCTCTGATAAAAGTTTTAGCTCAAAACTGGTTTCTGTGCTACGGCATTGCTAGGAGAACAAGAATTAAGATAAAGCATTGAAATGTCTTCATTAGCTAAAAATGTAAACTCAACATCTTAGTCTTCCCTAAACTAGCTTTGAACTCAAGTTGAAAATTCAAATGGAGACTTTCTGTTTGACAAAGTTTGATTTTGGAGCCAGGATAATGAAAACCCGTGGTAAACCCCCCCCCCCCATCTGCCAAAAATAAAAGGGCAATTTACGGAAGGTTCTTTTAACAAGTAATCTGCAGGGTCAAGTTGTATGGAACTCAACCCATGACCAAGTAGAGGAATATTTTTCAACTTTTCCAGTGAATAAATGTAAGCAATACAAGATCAAATGACAGCTAGGGCATCTGCCTTAAGCAGGTGTGTTCCATGGCTGGTCCATGCCTGATACTAGGGATAAAATAAGAAAGGCAACATGGTGCACTTAATTACTAGATCTGAAATATGTACAAAGTAATTTAAAAAGTTACAATGATTTTTTGGGTCATGTTGACAAAAAATTTGACTTAGTTCCAAGAACTATGAACAACGAAAATTGATCGAGGATAGGGTCTTAGCTACAATGTCTTCAGTTCAAATGAATTTCAAAGTCAGCAAGGAAGAGTAAGAGAGGAAAATCAAGGATGAAAATCAATTGCTGAATGTTGTAAGTGTCCTTTGCATTGTATGCAAAATGTATCTTCAAGTGTGTGTTTGATGTTTAACATCTTAAAATAAATTCATAAATAACAAATAATAACCAACTCCTCATTCAGTATCAGTGCTGAGGATGAGCTTGATTACTGAGTAAAAGATCCAACTACTTCACGAAAAATATCATCATTAAACATTTTCAGTCACTCGAGATGTTGCAGTTAAAACTACTAACTTAAATGGACATGCTTTCATTCAACTTCTTGCTTAAGGTTTGAAAAACTTTGATCAAAGAAAAAGTAGTGCGGATAGTCTACTGATTTTTTAATTTTCACCATCAGAAAATATATAATTTGGGACAACAGCAGGATTAGGGAGTTTATTCTTCTGCATAACTTTCTAATGATATTACACTACACAAGAAACTACCTATAATGCAGAGGGGTCCACGCTGAATAAGTTTCGCTTTACGTTTACGCAATTTTAGAGTGCCCCAGAAGATCAGATGTCATCAAGGTAGCACTGTTAGTAAATACAAAAAATCTAGATGGTGGATCTTCTGTAGCAATCTAAAAGTGCGAAAACTTATTGGGAATGAACTCTACCATGAGTTTTTAGTCATGAGATGACTCGACAGAAGACATCCAAATTTCATGATTTTTAAGTTCTTTCACAACTCTAAAGACACAGTAATTAAGCATAAAAAGTTGTAGAGTTAGGACTTGGATTAAAATCCATTTAAATACTTTCAATGCCTTATTTATTTTATGGAGAACCTTTTTTTCATTTTTCAGTGCTTCAGTATTTCAGTGCTCATTGCAAAATTAGAAAAGAAATGGTAATTTTGAGGAAAATGGCTGCAAAAAAGACAAGATTTGCGGCTGGGTAACTAAAGTGCTATAAGTATTCACCTAGAAGGCTGCGAATCATCAGTTGATTTCGGGTCAGAGGACGCAATTGAGAGAGAGCAGGTCAGATGAATTTGGGGCCAGGAAACTAAAGTGGTATGAGCCTTCATATAAAAGGTACGAATTATTATCGGCTGATTTCGCAAATCCAAGCAGCTCAAAATTGCCACCCATTGAGGGTTATCCTTATAAAATCGCGAGCAAAGCAAGCAGTGAGATCCCTACTTCAGCCCCATAGTTTGACTACCCTTTTCTTTATAAAAGTAAAATAAGAACCTGGTGATAACAAAAGGTTTTATATAGTGTACAGCATTGTATGGTTAGTTTTTTCTCATAAAAAAGAGATGAGATTTGGAATTTTAAAAATTGAGAAAAAAAGAGAAACTAATTATTCTAGTTAAACAATTAAAGTGTTCTACTGCGTTAATATTTTTTGTTCATTCTTGTAAAATTATCTTATTGGAAATGGGTTTGAGATTATTTTTACTTAACCAGGTAATGAAACAAAAAAAACCCCTATGTTATCCAGCTGAAATAGGCAATGCGTCATAAAGTGAATTACTCTGGTAAAATTTGAATGAGTCAACCTTAACATCAGAACCATTTAGCCAACCTCCCTATGAAAAAAAAGCTACTGCAAACTTTGATTTAGACAAGAGGAAGTGAATTTTGAACTTATGATGACAAATTTTAGTTTCACTTTTGACTTTCATGGTAGTATTTGGCAATTCCGGATGAAATTAATAACAGAAAATAAAATAGACTGAATTGAAAAACTTCTATCGTACGTTTCCCTCACCAAAAAAACAACAATGAAATATAAAACACTGCAATTATTCTAACTGTAAGCAGAAACATAATTTCTGAGAAAATGAAAAAAACATCAAAACTAGTGTACTTTTGATACCATTTTGGGGGCGAGGAAAATGTGGAAACGCGAAAAACGGATCTTGTCTGAAATTAGGGGGCCTCCCAAAAATTAGGAAAGATGTTTTTTTCCAAGTATTGTAGTCATCCAATCACGTTTTTGGTCACGCTGAAGGTTTTAAAATTTTCCTCTTAATTTTTCTAGTTTAGGGGAGAGATTGGAAAAGTTCCAGGATCCTCACATTTTTTTTTTTTTTTTGAAATTTGTCAAAGTTTCCCTAGCTATTCTACACTCTCTTTCTACTTTCCCAGATTTTGTTTTGGAATTTCTTAACTTCTTGACAAACACTTAATACACATTCGTAAAATTTATGTCTTCAGTAATGTGTCAATTTTAAACTGGCAGCTACTTTTGTATTTTTTGCAAAGTTGCAGCATGCTGAAAAAAATGACAATTTCTAGCCAGCTCATATTTAATTTATATCCTTTTAGCAAAGATCTCTAAAAATTAGGAAAATTTGTAACCTTCTGTTCAAGATTTATTGTAAATTTGAACGATAGTTTTTATCTGCACCCCTCTATTGATTATACTATTGAAGAAGAAAGATATCAGTCTAAGCTCAAGTTACCAAACGTCATGCACATTTATTTTGTTCGGTGAGAACAAACATTTCATTAGGAACAGAATCATTTAAATCGGAGGGAGAAAAGTACTGTGCATTATAATAACACAGAAAAAAGTTACATGACTGGACTGAAGCAAAGCATAGACCTGGAATTTTTTGGATTTGGAATATTAAACAGGTCAAATTACAATAACCTAAAAGAAGGAATATTCATACCTCAAGGTATCAGTGCTTGTAACTTCGCACAGATACGTCAGGAAAAATCAGGGAAAGTACTTAAGAACGCTCTAGTATTAAGGAGGCTGTCCCACTTTCCATAGGAAATGGCTGCAAGAGATTTTCCATCCATACTTTCAGGAATCATAACGGATCATCGGAGAGGCCTAAATCCGGTGACCTTTTCCGTCTAGCCCTCTGAGGGGGGAGAACGGAGGGGGTCAAAGGTCAAACGTACAGACCGCCATAACTTTTGAACGAAGCAACGGATCAACTTGATCTTGGGCTCAAATGAAAGCTCTCAACAAGACCTTTCATTTGATGTATATAAAAGTCTGTTTTTGGTAATTTTTTAAGGTGAAAAAAATTATTGTTTGATTTTTTAAGCCCAAAAAATGCGGTTTTTCGGGTTTTTCTACAAAAAGGAACGCATGAATCGTTACAAAAACCAATTTTAATGAAAGTCCTTGATTCATATTGTTGAACCTGGGGAAATGAATGGTTCAAAAGTTATGACCGTTCAAAGTTGGCGTGGCGCGCTGTTTTCGAAGCGCGTGGAGTGTATACTCGCGTGCCACCCCTCCTTACCTTTACCCTGGTGCCCATACAATCAAATGAAAGGTCTTGTTGAGAGCTTTCATTTGAGCCCAAGATCAAGTTGATTCGTTGCTTCGTTCAAAAGTTATGGCGGTCTGTACGTTTGACCTTTGACCCCCTCCGTTCTCCCCCCTTGGAGGGCTAGACGGAAAAGGTCACCGGATTTAGGCCTCTCCGATGATCCGTTATGATTCCTGAAAGTATGGATGGAAAATCTCTTGCGGCCATTTCCTATGGTAAATGGGACAGCCTCTTTGACTGACAAATGCAGAAAATATTAAATTTTTCCATTTCAATAGAAAAAACGATTAGATTTATATAGAGATTTACAATACACGTGTTATCTAAGTTCAGCAACTCACATTTTCATTCCATTTTCTGAGCCACCCATTGCTATCACAGATTCTTAGAAAAAATTTGGTAAGGGGCCCCGGAGAGGATTTCACTGGGAAACCCCTTAAATGGGGGGAGGTTCAGAAGTCCTCCAGAAAATTATTAAGTTACAGACATCAAGATTAAACTTCTGAGTAACTCTATGCGACTTGTGAGAGTCGCAAACAAAAAACAACTTTTTACAGTCGTAACAATTAATCTTAGAATAATTTTTTTGAAACTGGTTACATCAAGAAGCGCATTCCATATAGTGACAAATGTTTGTTTTTGTCCTCTCTTGGCAGCTTGCATTACAGGTGAAGTGTATCTAGATTAATACTGATGCACATTAAATCGCTCGCACAGTTTTCCACTCAAAAGCTATTGCGCTTTTATTTTCCTTCTACATCATGTGAATGTAGAGATCAGCTAATAGCAATGAGTTGCTTCACGATATAAAAACTATAAAAACAGAAATATTGCACATACTATACAGATTATTTTAAAATGGAGGATTATGAAAATAAAAGAAAAAAAAAATATGTAACAAAAAATTACAGGATAAATCTAATTACTTCATAATCCATAGACTGGTTTAAAGTCACAGGCAACGGTGACTAAAGATATAATGTGAGAAATCATAAATTATTTAAATATAATTAATAATTAACAAAACAAGAAAACAAAATAGGAGGGAGATAAAACTTGAAGAACTCCTTGAGAAAATATTTTGCCAATGAAGGCAATGTGTGCCTCTTAGTTATTTTGAAGTACAAAGAAATAATTTTCAGATTCAGAGAAGAGCTGAACCATTGGGTGGTTAAAGAAAGTTGTTAGATGAGAGCAGTGATGAAGTTTTGGGCTAGAATCTGTTAATATAGAGATTTAAAAGAGCAGGGGCGCAGAAACTTCCCCATCACAGGATCATAATCCACTTACATGGAAAAATGGGAAAGCTGCAAAAATTAGGAGGGCCAGCTTGCAGTAGCATTAAAATTGCTTACTTCTTCATAAACTGCGGTAAAATTTGCGTATGTTTCGTAAAGTTGCAGAAAAATTCACAAAATCACAGCGACTTGTAAATGAAGATGAAAAATGTTCAAAGTTTAAAAATTCTTGAACGAAAGAGCTTTTAAAGTGGGAAAGCTGAGAATTTTCTACACCCCTGTGTAAGAATTACTTTTAGGATATCAGCTCCTTAGTTTCCGTTTGTTTGACGATAGTGTTACATAAGTTGATATACATCTAAGATGAATGTTTTCTTGATGAGATTGAGAGCCTCCCTGCATCCAATGAACTGTCTCAGGAGGCTGCAGAAAAAATATATTCCCCTGGCCTCAATATCTCAGCAAGTTTTTACAATCACTGACTGTTGAGATTAATGCATTCATAGTCTGAGAAATTTGAACTGCATTGTACAGACTGAGTTCAGCGAGGAAACTGAGTGACAGAGACTAAGATCGAGGAATGATAGGTTTCTAGTTTCTTCTTTACCACAGTTCAAGGTAAAAGAGTTCAAGTCAACTTTTTATCAAGAGAAAATGGGCTTTAGGATTTGTAAAAATGTCATTTTTATCTCTCTCCCTGAATGCTGCCCATGCATCAAGAATCATGAAAAAAGCAGATCAAGATTTCTAAATTTGAAACCTAATTTTATTATCAGATATAGAAAAAAATCACAGAGAGATCCATGACTGCGAAACAAACTTCTCTCCTGGAATAATGGCTGAAATGAAGGTGCATTTTTCTGTTTACTAGATGACACTCAGTCTTATCTGTGACATTACCAGATCCCAACATGAACTGCTACTCCTCTCACACTGAATATATTGCGGCTCGCTTGAATTGAAAATACTGTCTTTCCAAAAGAACAGGCAGTCAAAATGTTGAACGTACACCTTAGAACAAGTATACGACAAACAATCAAGCTGCTTGTTTACATACAGATACATCTCTAACATTCTCTTGGTGCAATTATCTTTTAGAAGCCCATGGGGTCGAAACAAGACTGGACCACAGAACTTTCTACTGTGAAAAGAACTTATGAATAAAAAATAAATGGCCAGGACTGCTAAGGAGCAATTAAAACAAACACGGTTTATTTATGAGGCCATAGCAGCCATTCTAAGTCTTTTTGTAAGGTGCCCCTGGGTGTGTTTCTGTAGGTGATCGCGTCGGTAAAACGCTTTCCCACACTCAGTGCAGATCTGGCCTTTCTCACCTGAGTGAATGATGTAGTGTCGCGCCAGGTGTTCGTTCCGTTTGAACGTTTTTGGACAGGCTGCGCATGTATATGGTCGGTCTGTTGAGTGTGATAATTGGTGTCTGTCCAGATGCTCTTTCCGTTTCAAGCCTGCGCCGCAAATCGTGCAAATAAACCGTCTCTCTACTTTATGTGATGCCAAATGTTGTTCTAGCAGTGTTTTGTCTGGATACGCCATGTGACACTCTGAGCAACAATACAGTCTAGATCCATCAGGAGCAGTTACAATTCTCACATCGCCAAGTCCTTGTCTTTTCCTACCTTCATTTGGAACTGATAACTGAAATTCAATGAAAAACATCATAAATGAAATAAATGATTAATTGATACTAGTTTGGAGAAACTTGATATCACTCGAATATTAGTTCTCTCAAGTTACAAAATCATGAAGCTCTCACAACCTCAAACAACCTCTTTTCAGATAGTGAACAGATAATAAGAATGCTAAGTGCTGCATTGAGTTTTACGCAGGGCTATGCACATTCTGTGGTAGCTACTATATTCAATTTTAAAATCTTCTAGGATTTATTTCTCTCTGAATATGAACAAACATGCTACTTAGAAAACTTTGATTTTGAGTATCGTACCTGTACTTAAACGAGTTTGAGCCTCTGAATAAAAGTAAGGGTAACACTGATGAAAAAACTGAACACTTTACGCCTCTACTAAACTTTGTAACTTTGGTTTAATTTTTAATCACCAAATCAAAATTCTGCAAATGGAAGATAATACTTGAAGAGGTACATAAATGGCTGAAGCACTCAGTGGCGTGGCATTTTTTCCGATACATCAATTGGTCTACCATTTAAACTATAGAAAAGGATCGATAAACAGGGTGTTTGCAGCAAACACCTAAATAATCAATTCTTTATCAGAGAATCAAATGGTGCAATATCAATAATCGATCATTGACGCCTCACCGCTGAAAGCACTTTGGCCACAACTTGCTTGAAGAAGTTCGTGAGTCCACAAGAAAATTTATTGACAAAACCAACTTAATTTCTGCTTCAACAGCGATAAATGGGAAAAACAGAAAATCAAACGAATCTTTAAAATTTTATGGCTCATACTTATTATGTGCTACAGACTTTCAGTTGCAGTGGGGGAGTTTTCCAAAAATGAGGAAATTTTAAGGCTGAAACCAAATTAAACCTACTTTTGGCTCCAAGGAATTTTTTAAACCCCTGATTTTACTCCCTTAACTTATTACTTTCAATTGTAATGACATGCTGAAACAAATTCAAAGGTACCTTCAAAAACTGACGGAGACTGGTTAAATATTCAGCTACTTTATTTCCAGACTGAGCGGCTGCGAATCCCTCCCACTGACCAAGACGCTCTTGTTCTTCTGGTGTTAGAGGATCAGTCATCGTAGCTGCATCAACCATCTTGCGAGGAGTGTTCGTACTGGCAGCGACTGGAAGTTGAGGTGCTTTGAAGTTATGATTGAAACCTTTGTTCGGCACTTTAATCTCACCATTATTGTTAGGTGCAGGAATGAAATGTCGACTCAAATCATTTAGTGGTTGGAGATTTGACGAGCTTGGTTTGAAACAATTAGAGAGGTTGATGTTGTCTGATTTGACATCTGAGCTGGAGGCATGATGTCTGTTATCGGCATGAAAGATTTGTTGCAAATCAATGTTGTTAGCATTGTGGTATCGAAGTTGCTCATTGCTGACTGAAGTGGGTAGGACCAACCCTGCATTAGAAACAGTGGGATGAGCGAACCTTGGCACAAAATTCTGCAAAGTGGCGGTTGGACATAAAGTTTGGTGCAGCTGAGGAGGTCCTGAATTTCTGTATTGCAGGTGATTCATCATGATTCCTGATCAAACTAAGAGTCTTACGTGAAGAAAAACCTCCCGAACCGATAGGCAAATCTACATAGATCAGCCTGAGAGGGCAAAAGCCTTTGCACCCTTCGCATGAATCCGAAATTTTGATAATAGTATGCCTTTCATGGTAACACAGTTATCAATATAAACAACAAGTAAGGTTAGAAATAAAACCGAGCCATGATGACTTTTGGTACCGAGTGAGAGTATAAAACACAGTTCACACGAGGAATAAGTCCGGTAAAGAAGCAAATCAATCAAAGGGACACGATTAACTTTTCGGATCAAAACAGTTTCCGAGATAATCAGTACTATAATGAAAGAAAATATCACAGTACAGTCCAGGTAGGGAACTGGGAGGGGGTCGGAAAATAGAACCGGGAACGGGGGAACAGGGGCACGGGGCAGGGGAACGAATTGAATTCGCGGTTCACGGCACGCGGGCATAGCATAGAGCATAAAGCAGCATGGTGAGAGAAATGCTTGGTACATACAGGGTGTCCGTAAAATCCCGCCCCCCCCTCCCCCTGCAACTTTGGACCTGTTCAAAATTGGAAGCTTGGAATGTTCCTAGGTCAAAGGGAAGGACCTAGGTCACAGGGAGCTACTTTTTGACCCACCTGAAATTCTCAAAAGAGCATATGAAACAAAACATTTTCGCGCGACCTGAAAGTCATAATCTCAGACAGTTTCAAATAGGCGGCCGGTTAAAGTTCAAAATGGCCAAAAAATTGGCACCTTGGTTTTCTGCCTACGAATTTGCCTGAAACTCGATAAGAGAGGATATTTTAACACGAGGAAAACGAATTTGACGTTAGATGTTTCAAAAAGGGACACTTTTCAAAATGCATGGCTGCCAATTTCTGTTGATTTTTAGCTTCAACCGCTAATGAATAGGTACTTAAAATTGAACAATTTTGGGCATATTCTATTTCTCTACTATCTGATCAACTTCCTTTGTCCATCAACTTGATTATTCAGAGAAGAGAGACCGAAATATCGTGGGAAAATCTAAAATGAACCACTTGACAAGGTGAAAACAACAGCATTATGATACAATATTTCTCATCAAAATTCCACGTAGAACACGATTTGAGCAACAAAAATAATTGATGAAAAACTCAAGATCAAGATATTATAGTTGTTCAAGGTAACAAGTTTAAATAAAAATGTTAGTACCTAAATTGAGTAGGGATCACTTTTAGTCATTTTTCTTGCTGTGTTCTAGGGGAAATTTTGAGGAGGAAGTATACATGAGAATGCTTAGTTTTTTCTTTGCCTGATGGTCCATTTTTACATTTACTAGGTACCCAGAAATTAGTATTCTGGGAGTGAATATTCCTCTAAAAGAAAACGCTGGGAAATCACTAAAAGACAATTTAAAAAATTTATAAATTTAAAGTTTATTGCTAAAATAAAAATTCCATTTATATTAAATAAACTGTACATTACATACAATAACATGTAGGTACCAATTATAGATTATTACGATTATTTATAAGTATATATAAATATTTTTTTAAGAAGCTTAAATTATCAAAAAGAACATCATAATTACTCTATCACTTTAACAGAAAGAAAATATAATATAAAACAGGAAACAAGATAGCTCTCAAAAAATACAAATAAATATACGTAAAAAAAGAAGACTCCTTGTTTTCTTTGAGAATTGAAGCAAGATGTTAATCTTGTTGCATTGTTACTTTGAAATAGACAACACTAATAGGTGAAATAGTGAAAATATTTTGATAAACTTACGCTACAAAACAATCGTTAAGTATTGAACGTTTAATAACCGTATTGGGTGTTAGATTTAGTACAAAAATTGATCAGTCATATTGAGAACATACCTAAATATTAATTTTATTTCGTTTTGAGGATTTTGGAGAAAAGATTGTTGAATACCCCAAAAATAAAAAGTAAAAAATTTTAACAAAGAGGAATGGGGATTGGGGAAGGATATTGTGAAATAGATGAAAATGAGAGGCTCTTAGATGTTTCAGAGAAAAGAAAAAAAGAAAAAATTAAATTTGATCTTTTAATTTAGGAGCACCAGGTGGATTTAATGACTGCCTAAAATGTGACTGTTCAAGGAGTGCTCATGATGATCCAGGAACTTTCACCTAATGATTTTTGAGGATAATTAGTACTTCATAAGTTTAAAAATAAGTTCATAGTTATAGTTGTATGCATTACAAATTTAATTTTAAAAGAAATGAAAAAAAAAATGTATTATGAATCATAAAACTAATGAGATGAGCGTTGTTGCACTGAAAAATTTTTCTAACACTGACCAATTTTTAAAAGCTGGCAGAAGAGAATGTCTTCTTGCACACTATCAAATTTCAATTTTGCGATGGGCTAACAGGGAAGCCTAAGCAATGAAGTTCTCAAAATAATTGCTCTGAGTCTGAATTTTTTTAGCTCAGTGGCGCAACAAAAGAACTAGGATCTGTACTTCAGTAAGAAGGGGGTATTGAGACATGAGGCAAAACCAATTCTGAAAAGCCTCTAGACCGTTTTTACATGAGATGATTGCAAAACCTGCAGTGTATTTTTATATTTCTGAAAAGAGGAATTCAGAAACGAATTGATGATAATTTGAACCTTGCCAATGTATTCACAATGAACTCAACCTGCTTGGCATCAGTGTTCTTTGGATAGTTTCAATGAAACAGAAGTTAACAGGATCATTCATGATAATTAGAAGTTACAGGCTGTTAATTTAGAGGTCAACTGACATGAAGGCTAACATTTAATATCATCACAGGCTTCAGATAGGGGGAAAAATTACCGCAAAACCCATCACCCTGATTAACTAGCTCTTAAACTAAGTTTTTATATTTATTATTACTCTTCCGCTATTTTTGAACTTAAATTATAATTCTTACAGTAGGAAAAAGCGGAGGGGCAAGCGCCACAGGATGAGAAGGAAAATTGACTAAAAAATTTAAACAATGATAAATATAAAAATACAACAGGTATAAAACAAAATAAGTGATCGTTAACAAAATTATCACTCTCCATCAAAATTTTGGGCAAAGTCGAAATATGTACTAGGTACCAAAATTAGTGTTGCAAGTAAACTAAATAATTGAGGAGGGCAAATGAATTTTAGGAGAGTTTGTCCCTGTATGTTCCAATGTCTCATTGAAAGTGCCTGTATCAACTAGATAATTCAAATTAAAAGCTTGATCATAGACGTTGAAACCAGACAAACTGATATAATTTAGATCAAATCAGAGAATTTGTCAGAGGACTTCTGAATCATTAGAGAGGCAAGTAAGAAAATTTCGTGGAGAGAGACGTTGGGACGTATTAAAGTAACAATTTACACCTCCCATACCAGTGCAACTGATGAATATAAAAGTATGGCGAAAAATCAATTTTTACTGGTTGACGTTTTGGCAAGGGTGTCTCTGAGGGCTTAAACTTATAAAAATATCATTTCAAATGAGCGGAAAAGCTATCCTCGAAAAAAAATTAAAAATCTATAACATGGTGTTGACGAAAACATGTGAAATAAGGAGATTACTGTTTTGCGAATTTTCAGTGGCTTCTCAAAGATGAGACGTATAATGATTGCGGTAACAGTGGAAACATATTTTGAGAAAATTAAGCCCTGTCTTACATTATCTGGATCACGCTCCAATCAGAAGAAAGAGGAATCCTCTTTCTTCAACAGCAACTAATCAAACAGCAATTTTATCAACAGCAACTAATGAGAGAGCAGTCAAAAGTAAAGAGGTTAAGGACTTCGAGACAATATTTAGAACCTACTCAGAGAAAATTCTGACTTGTGCTCATCAAAACGTTGCCGCGAGGTTGTTACATTTTTCAATTTCAATTAAATGAGGCCCGCCCACTAAAAATTGATAACTCTTAAACAAAATAAGGATGTTAAGCAATGTTGCAAAATAACTCTGTTTGTTACGCCAAACAAAATACAACTATGCAGTCCATTTCAACATTCTTTGGAGCAACTAAATGCAGAGGGAGTTTCTCTTGTAAAAACAGGAAAGAGATAACTTAAAAAAATGAAATGGCTACTATCTTGGAATTTAGATTTTATCTGCATTTATGGTAAATAAAAAAGGTAAGTGGAAGGATTTCCCTCCACTTCACCTCCGACAAATTCATTAATTTTTTTAAATAAACACAATTGAAGCAGCAAAAAGAGGTTACAAAAAATTCAATAAAAAAATCTAATTCTTTGTTCACTGTGCAGTGGGATGGTCAATATAGCTAGAATAGGCTTGATGACAGGTATGATCTATTAACTCACTACAGGCCAGGGTAACCTAAAACAAATGCGAGTACTTGCAGATGTTCTCCTACATGAACTCTGTCTAAGGTAGTGAGAAAACCATCGCAAATTTTCAATGGTGCAAAAATACACTCTTAAGAAATACACAGGGAAATTTTAGGAGACAAATTTCTTTAAACCTGACCGGTATGTCTCAATAATATTAGTGAAAATACAATTAAAGATCATGGATGACAAATTACGTACAATTTAAATATTAATTAGTGAAGAGTTCAGTTAATATTAGAAAACTTTGCCCATTTGCACGTGTGAAGTCTTCACCGAGTTGCAGTGTATTTTGGGTCGCACGTATGACCACATTTGTTCTAAGCTACCCTGATACAAATCATGAAACAAATTTTAAAGAATTCCATAACAATAGATGCAGGATTAAATAATACGAAATACGTATTTTTTACAGTAATTTTTCAGTTAAATACATTTTTAAATACAAAAATAGATTTGCAAGGTGAGAAAACATGGTAAAATGATCGAAAAAGATTACAGTTGAAAAAATTGGAATTTCACTGTTTCTACAAATTAGATATAAAAATATTGTGAATTTTCAACTGTACACTGTAGAAGAGAGACGAACAAAAATGTTAAAAAATAAGTAAACAATCAATCAAAAAACATTCATTGAAAAATTTTGCATGAAATTACCCTCACAAAAATAATGCTGATTACAGAATTGATGCATTGCCCGACCAAGAGGGTAGCCGCGTATACATCAATTTTGATGAATGAAACAAGATTATTTGATGGAAATCATTCTTCTTAAACTACAAAATATTCTGCTTGAAAAATAACTTTCGTAATAAATGCAATCTAAGAGAAACTTCAAGTGAATCTGATACATGTACAAAAAAGGTACATCTGAGAATTATATGGACATAAACTGATTTAGATGTATGAGAGGGATAGTAAAAAAGCAATCATCAAAATTTACTGAGACTGTTTTGAGAATTTTATTACACAGGTGGTATTCTTTGATGCAACCATTTAAAGAAGCAGAGAGACAAGAAAAAAAATGTAATCCTATCCCCAAAGCACCATTAGCACGATGAAATTTTTCAAACCGCACTTTTATTCATGCATGACAGACATGTAGAACACAGCATTACACAGTGCAGCTTAACTTCTGCATTGTCTCACGGACATCAATAAAAAAGGGACCCAGGATTTAATACAAAATTTCTCATGGAAAGGCCATGAGCATTTGGGTAGAACAGCTTGAAGGGGATTAAAATAATTTACGTTCAATTTCTTTTTTTTTTCGAGAACATCTTTCTCCTGATCTGAGGAAACGTCTTTCCTTTTCAAGAGACAAAAATATTGTTGCAAACAGCTGGATACTTCTTTCTTTTTTGGGGGTCAATCATTTGCACAGAAACAGATGCAAGACAAAGTGAGAGGTAATTGTTCCTCAGAGAGAGAGCAAAAATTACTTATCTTCTTCAGAAAAGTACATTTATATTCTCTTGTACACGTAACGATGATGTCAAAAATTGCCTTTTACCTCTGAAATTTTAAATTAAAGAAGAAGTTATTTAACCTACAAATAAGATCTATGATATGAGGAAAAAATTATCATTTCAGATCTCCTTCAAAAGGAGAATCAACACAAGAGAACCGTTAAAAATAAAAAAAGGGAACAAATTTTAACAAAGGAGAATATTTTGTTTCCACTTAAAATTGTTAGTCAACATATTGGTGATAAAGTTAATGTGTAGAAGGTGATGTTCGAAAAAAATGGGCTCGTTACTGTACATCATACAAAGATTTAAGTACATTTAAAAATAGTCAAAATCTCATTCTGATCCTATTTGGGAAGTGCTCATATTTTACATACACAATATAAGAGGTAGCATTCACTAAGAGCTTGACACAAAGAGGACCAAATATCGATTCAATCAACACAATGCTGATACAGCTTAATACAAATAAAAAAGCGGCTACTGCCATTTCTTAAAGCATCTCGGAAAATTTCATGATGATAGAGGGGCCAAAAGAAAGGTGGGAAAATTCATCAATCTTCAGAAACCTTCATGGATGATGTTTTTTTAAAACATTCAATTATTCTTTTCAACCCTGCACTGAATTTCTAATACTTGTTGGTACTTCTGACGAAAGAGTGTCAAATAAAAAGCTCAGACATGTTTTGCAGAAAGTAATTGAAAACTCTAAAAATCCAAGAATATTCACATAGAATTGATTGTGACCCAACTGGCAAATTTTATTGAAAACCAAGAGCAATTTAATAATAAATCTACACCCTTAAAAACATGAAAGTACTATAAGTATGTAATTATTTCTAGTACCAAAATTTCTAGGATGAAAATTGGAAGAAAGTAGTTGGATCTAGGTTATACCGCTTGAGGTTAGGTGATATAAGGATGGATTTACTGACAAAGTAGATCTACATAAATCGATACTGCTGTGAGTCAAAAAGCCCCCCTCCCTCAGTGTTCTAACTTCATCAAAAAATTTTAGGGGCCATCCGGCCAACAAGTTTATTTTTTAGGTGCCATCAACAATTTTTTGGTCAAAAACTTAAAGATTCAGCAGGACATTTTCAAAGAGCAAGGACATAATAGAAGTTAAGCCTGTCCGAACATTTTGGGGCCTTGTTTTCATGGCGCCCCTCATTCTAGGAAAATTTGGACTGCATTTTGCAATTTGGACCTATAAATTCTGGCTCATCTGAAAAAACACTTATGTGCATAGGGAAACTAATGGTACATACGTTGTTTTTAAACCGGGCCGGAATTTATAGGTCCAAATTGCAAAATGCAGTCCATTTGGCGTATGGTGCTCAGTAAAGTTTGAACTGCTCCTCACCCATTGAACATATTAATACTTTCTTTTTCTTACGAATTTGAAGTTGTAAAACGCCAGATTAGCAAAAGCGTACGGATAACAAGTAAAGAATAAATACATGTTTTACAATTGTTAAAAAATTACTTTCAGTGTCTCCTAAAAAGACATTGATAATTAATAGGAAGTTAACTATTTGTTCCTCTGGGGTACAGAAATAAAAAAACCCAGGGAAATCTTTGCATCTAGAGGGTAGTTCTTCCCTAAAAAAGCATTCTGATTTGTAGCTGCTTACTAAATTTGATCGATGACTAATTAAATGACCTTGATACTGAGAGCACTAAAAAAGATAGTTTTGTTGATTAAGTTCACTGAGTAAAGGAACTAGTAAGTTTCAGTAGTTAACATGCATGATCATCTCCTAGTATGTTTGCTCCCTGAATTATAAAGTTTCCTAGTAATGCTTGTAACATTGACAGAATTTTTGAGATTTTGAAAGCTTAAATGCTAAACAGCATTCTTCTTCATATTTTAAAAAAATACGGCAATACAGTAAAGTTATTTGCACAGAAGCCTCTCTTTGAAGTGAAAACGAAATAAGAAAATTTCAATCATTCTTCTCCCATGAAAAGCAAAATGAAATACCTTAATGTACTTGCCACTTTTATTATTAACATAAAATTAACCTAAAACTTTCATCTGTATTTTGCAGTTAATCCATTTCCGTCTCCTAAATAGGGGTGGATTTGGCATTGGTCAAGTTGAGACACTGAGCAAAAATAATACTCTTCTCCTTTTCCATTGAGCAGTAAAAAAAAGGACAGAGATGTGCCTGCGACTTCATTTCTCATGAGTCAGGAAGCACTCGTTATTCACTTGACCCTGAAGGGTTCTACTAGATTAATTGTCTACTAAATAAGAGAAGCCATACAAGTCCACTTTTTTTACTTGCTGTTTACACTCAAACAGTAGGTCACATTTGCCTGAGAAATTAATGATACACACAGTCACATTGTAAATCCGCGTACTTAAAGCGCTTGGAGCAGTTTCTTGAAATCTATTTTTTATCCTCTTCTTCAATTTCAAGTATCCAGCATTTTCAGTCTTATGAGGGACTGATCTTTTCTGCTTTTTGAGACCTAAAATTCTGATTTATTTCGAGCAGGTTCTCATGAATTTTTGCTTCAGATCAATCATGTTGAATATTCTATTGAATCACAGTCGCAGTCACAGTCAATCCTCTGAAGAAACGTTCAATAAGATTATTCAAAGTCTCTTTCTTGCATTGAATGCTCCAGTGCGTCTTGCCTATTAAAAACTGGTCCCTTTACTTAAACATCTTGTTCCACAGAAAATTTAGATCATAGACTGGAATAGTGAAAATAATGAAAAACCAGGTCTCACCATGAGGGAGGACCCAATAGTGTATTTCCTTTGGAAAATACACTAAAAAAAATTGCATTTAGGAAGTCCTATAGTCTAGCATAGGGGCTTCAGAACTTTAATTTGCAAGGTAGGCTCAGTTGGGGCTTAGTTTTGGATACTGATTTATTGGCTGTCAGTTTTACAAAATTATTAGGTGGAGGAAACCCTGACTACGTATTAATAGTTTGGAAGCCCCTGTTCTTACATGCATACTTACATTTAATTAAGTTTTTTTCCCAATAACTAAATTTCAATCATCATTTAGCAAAGGCTAGCAATAAATCATAAAACTAGTTAACAGGCTCTGATACACAGAGTTTTTAACAAATAATCTTCGAGGAAGAAGCACACATAAATCCCGAAATCAAGCTTAAGCTGAAACAATTATTCTGAATTGTTGATAAGGATGAACATGGCCGATTACAGGAAAAAAGGTTGGAAACTTACAATTGTATTCTTAAAATACAAAAATATATTTTCACAAACTTGTTTTCCATAATTTAATCCAACAAGTCTCAACTCAATAATTAAAAAAGAGTGTCAAGCGAAAGGAAACAACCTTTCATGACAACAAGGTTACTCATTGCAAGAGGTTGGCAGAATTTTATATTCATAGATGGCTGATATTTTTGTATTCAACACTTTAATTTTAATGACCTTTAGATTTTTGATCGTTTAATCATTACAAGGGAATTGAACTTGGTAGAAAAATTCACAATTCATTTACTTCATTTTAAGAGGTGGCTCCTTCTAGGTGATGGGAAAAATGGCAAAATTAAACCATAAAAAAGAACCAAGTACGAATGGATCAGCATTGATTCTTATGGATGATTCTGCCAACCAAATTTTTGAACAGGTCCTGTGTTCTTGAAGAAGTGGTTCCCTTACGCTGAACAAAATCCATAAGAATGAGAAGTATTGAAACTTTTCCAATAGCTCACATTGGGCGTGAATTAGAGACAGAAATATGAACGTATTTCTGCCAAACGGAACTATGTTTATTATGACGTGAGCCCTGCTATGCATATATTCTTATGGGCCTCGGGGCTCATATCTTAATGCACATAGTTCCGTTTGGCAGAAATACGTCCATATAAGATATGCTCCCTTCAGATATAAAAACTAAAATGCTGTGGACAGGAGAATGCTAGCTTCTACCAGTGCCCTGATTATAAAGCATTCTTCCGCTTAACACTGTCCAACATATTGACAAAATAAAAAAATAAAAACAGGCAGTAAATGCAGTTAACTAGGCATTTTCCATAATTCGCAGGACAGGACCCGAGTCATCCGAATTCTGTATTTCGTTACGCGACAACTGATTTTCCGAATCAATTTTCATGCACTTACGAACAATTGCATGTGCTTGTGCATCAGACAGATTACTGATTACATTATTAGCATTGGTGCTGTGTTGATTTGTGATAGTTATCGTAGCGTGCTGATCTTGCTGCAATTGAACCTGAGGTTGCTGCTGTACTTGGAGCTGAACATGCCGCTGTTGAACTTGTTGCTGCACCGTTTGAGGCTGTTGCGTTTGCTGATGTTGCACAACTTGTGACTGCTGAGTTTGCTGAACTTGCTGCTGTTGCTGTTGAATTTGCTGCTGCGATTGCTGCGTCACTTGCTGCTGTGATTGCTGTGATACTTGCTGCTGCTGCTGTTGAACTTGCTGCTGCTGTTGTACTTGCTGCTGCTGTTGAACTTGCTGTTGCTGTTGAACTTGCTGTTGCTGTTGTTGTTGTTGTTGTTGTTGTTGAACTTGTTGAGACTGTTGTGTCTGCTGTTGCGATGTTTGTTGCTGTGCTTGCTGTTGCTGAATTATTGCTACTAATGCATCTTTTGAGTCAATCTCTTGAGTCTGCTGACTTTGTGTGTTGACAGAAGCATCAGTTGAGTGGATTGAGACTACATGGTGCTCTCCACTTGCGATTGCTTGCTGCTGTAAAAATAGTTGGTGCTGTTGTTCATCTAACGTCAGTTGGGCTTGTGTTTGAGCTCGCTGTTGTGCTAGCTGCTGCTGATTGTACTCATCTTTGATCCTCTTGGTAATGTGACTCCGAGCATGTTTGCGCAGATGATCTCGTCGATAAAAGCCTTTACCACATTCAGGACAAACCTCTGTCTTCTCCCCAGAATGGATCACAAAATGCAAATTAAGGTGTTCTTTGCGCTTGAAACCTGAAATTTGATAAAACAATCTTTTTTCAAACAAAAGATATCATTTAAGAGCTTGTGGGCATAGCAGAGAGGCACATGCAGGGTATTTAATACATAATTGCATGAAAAAATGACTACAATAAAGCTACAGTACATCTAGTTAAAATGAGCGTCAAAATAGTTTAAGAAAATCATCTGCATTTCAAATTTAACGCCAACGCTTGTCTTCTGCCTATTTTCATGAAAATTTATGGGCAGAAAAAGAGAAGCTCTGGTGCATCTTTGAGTAAGCACTAAAGGGTAAGACAGAGTTGAAGAGGCAGAAAAAATCTTTCGTCATTTGTCACCCAACGTTACTTTGAAGAGTGCAGGCGTGGCAACAGCAGAGTACATAAATCCTTACATTGCCACATTTCATGGATTCTCGACAAACGGGATCCTTACCTAATACATTTTTCTACATTAGTCCTCAATACTTCTACATATATTTAAGAGCTAGATGGTAGCTACATAGATAATTCCAGTCATCTTTTCTAATCAATGCGCAGTGATCTGATAAGAATTGAAAGCAAGTCCAATAATTGAATCGCTAGGTACAGAAAGGAAATTTCTTGGTAGCGGTATCTCATGATCTCCGCGAACATTTCATCTGATATGATTAAAGCAAATGTATGTAATTCGCTGTGACTTTTGATGAATATTCTTTATGATTTTACAATGCTGAAGACGTGCTATTTCAGAAAATTCACCCGATAGTTTCCTCTTTAAAGGATAAATTAGCACTGGTGATTCTGAAACACCGCAACCGAAAAATGCCCTTTCTGCACCCAACACCTCAATTGTGACAATTGTGGCATTGAAGAAAAGATACATGACAAAGAGAAAACTGAACATTTGCGGTTTTTGCAAAACTTGTGCTTGGTTGGCTCAGAAAAATCAGAAACTCATATTTTCGAACTTTTCAAGTATAAAATTGATCAAAAAATTAACTGAAAAGTAACTTTTTTAGTTGAAAGAAACCTAGAATTTAGAAACACCACAATTGAGAGATGTAGTTTACTATAATTTTACCGGCACTGTGTGAAAGCTGAAAGCCTTCTTTCTTTTTCCTAGAGTTGCCATCACAGTGTGCACTGAGTCTTGTTTTCATAATAGGAGATCGTCCATAAAAGTAGCTTTCCTCATTTCATATCTTCCAAACCAAAAGAGATAAATTAAGTAGGCAAAAAGTTACGCTTCCGATGTACTTTTAGCTACTACCAGTGCAATTCGCTAGTTCACCAGGAGGTGGGCATGCGGCGATGAGAGGTGGTTCCAGTAAAATTGCATTTTATTGCAAACTTCAAAACAGATATTCGCAAATTTGGGCGTAGTAAAAGTTGAAATCATGTCTGATATGTGGCAAGGAGAAGGAGGGACACAAAGATCCAGTTGTTTAGTTAGTTTGCACTGTTTGGCTGTGTATGTTACAGTCAAAAGCCAAAAGGCGTTAAAACGCAAATTAGCGGTAAAAACTAGTCTTTTCAAAAAATATTAGTGAAAACCCGAAGTAGTTTTTTTTGGGGTTTTTACGTGAAATTTAAGTCAGAACTAGTTCGCGTCGGTCAAAACCCGAAGTTTGATTCTCTGACGGGTTTTTACGAAAACTTTCAGACAAATGAGTTTTATTAGTGGCGATTTATGGTACGAACTCGGCAACAACTGAATGAAAGGTTTTCGCGGGTGACAAAGACGCTACGTCATCTTCTCTGTCTGTCTCTCTGTCTCTGTCTTGCAGATTGCCGCTCTAAGGTATTAGCGTCTAAAAAGGTTTGACATTTGGCGAAGCAACGGTTGTTTGAAACTTATTTCTAAATCGAGCAATGGGTTTGTATGTCATACATTGTACCCGCCGAGGAACTTTTTTTTTTTTTTCGAAAGAGCGCATATTGCAACAGGACACTGCAGGAAGCTCAATCCAGGGATTTATCAGATGTCAATGTAAACAATGTTGTACTACGAGTCGATGTACAGGCAAGAAAAATGGACTATTGAGTAATTCAAAATGTCGTGGGTTCTCTTGCTGCGCCAATAAGTGACTTTTTCTCCTTTTTTTTTATATTTTTCTGACGTGTGGGAGCTTTTGACAGCCCTCTCAGTGCTTTAAAACAATTTTAACTTGAAGATTTATTGTCTGTCATCAAGCAGGCAGAAATTGTGGGCATGAATCGTCATACTAACAGTTCGTCTCAAAGTTATCATGTGCGAAAACCCAATTTCGTGATTGTTCATCTCTTCTGTTCGAGAGCTGGACTTACTGGATTGTCATTGATCATGCTCCAAAATGCTGCACTCAATAGTGTCTAGCATAGTTGCAGTAACAACTTCCTGTTGGCTTATCAGATGGCCTCGCTGAACCTTACGGTATGGAATGAGACACTGATAAACTAGAAGTTTATTTGACGCATTTGTTTGCCTATTTGAGCATTGTTGACAAATAAAGGAAAATAAATAAGTGAAAAATATATAAGATGCGCAGTCCAACAATCCACTCTAAACCTTTCCTTCAGGAAAGAGGCATGGCCCAGAGATGGATGTGAGAGGGATTAGAACTTTAGTATTTATATCTTTCCTCTGGGTGGAGGGTGGCGGCAGTTTTTTGCACGTGAATTCTTGGCCATTCTATGATGCTAATTTGTTGAAGAAAGAGTATCTTACCTTTACAGCATATGGAACACACATAGGGGCGCTCTGGATTGTGACCCAACCTATGTCTCTCTAAATGTTCTCTTCTCTTCAGCCCAGCTCCACAAATGTCACAGATGAACCTAAGATACATGAAACAAAGACTGTTTGATAAAAAGGAATTCTAGGACACTCCTAATACATGGGTGGATTTCAGCTAATGGGAGAAAATGGGTCTGAAAAAAGTTTAAAAGTTGAGAAGTGATTTGGTCATATCAAGCTAAAGACTACTTTTCTGTTATCTTAGAGCTCCGTACTATAGCATTTAATTGTGTGCATCGCAATATCTTTACGATTATTTTTCTTTACCAAGCCTGACATGTCAGTTTGGTTTGGACATGTCAGGTTTGGTGACATTTTGCTGTTATTAAATTTTCCTGTTATTAATTTTTCCTGCCAATTTACCGTAACAAAATCAAACAAATCATTGAGGTTAGGTCGAGAGGCCACCTGTAGATGTAAGAAAAAAATATTTATATAATATTTGCTCACATATTCCAACAAAAGTTTTGATGGGAAACAGCGTCACCAAACTGACATTGAATAAGTGAGACGCTCCAAAAACCATGGAAAAAACTAAGATCATGCTGAAATTGGAAGAAATATGTGGACTTATCATAAACACGTCTGTTCATTCTCCACTTCCGCACTCAGTCATGCCTTAATCCGCACAAAAACGCCATCTCTTGAGTGGCCACAAACTAAAACGCATAGCGTCACCAAACTGACATAATATTGAGTTACACGCTTAAAGTCTCAAATTAAATTGAATAATATAGTTTTCTGGTGTTTCAATGCATATTATATCAAACAATATACATTCAAGACTTAAGAAAAATTAGACAAAGCTCGCAAAAGGTCCTGGTTTATTTATATAACAATTTGATACATTAACTAACTCCGAGTTACACGTCACTAAACTGACATTTTCACCGTTTAGTACGTTGAAAAAAAGGTTTAGAGTTGTTCAAGTCTCCTGAGGAATTGTTTCATGGTTGGTGTGACCTGCTTCTAAGCAAAAAACCAAACATGGAGAGAAAATATCATAACTGAAAGTTTTGAACAACCATATTTAATCCCATCAGCTGAAATCCACCCACATATTCTAGGCATTCCTTCGAAAGTTCAGACCCACAGGATGTCACGAATTGACATCGGCAAATTGAATGCAAACTTAGGGCTAAAATTTTTTTGAACCTAGTGATGTAGTTTTTATAATTGTTCACCAAAAGTTGACGTTCTCTCTGCGTGTTTTTCTGCCACCACGAGAAAAAAAATGCAAAACTTGTCACATGCCAACATGTCAACTTTATTTGAAAATATAATACAGAAGAGGTGCCCAATCTAAAAATGTTCAGCTTAAAAATCAATTCGAAGGCAAATAGGAGTTATTCAAGTTGAGGCGGGTATGAAAAGTCAGATATCCTGGCAACGATGAGACCAAACCTTGGAACTTACATTTTTTGCCGAGCTGAGCCTGCCAGCATTCATTATTTAATTCTAACATTCTACATATTCTGTAGGATATTTGAAATGTGACATGTGACAAGTGTCCAAGTTTAGTGAGGAGAGAGAACAAAAAAATGGGTAACGAAAGCTAAAAAGTATACCTAGATGCTCAAAAAGCCTGGCTATTATGAAAAGAAGCTGGGTATGAAACATCCTATTAATATTGTGCTACATTGTTTTTTCAACATTGCTCTTTACTCCGTGTTGAGCTGTTGTTTTCTCAACAACCCACGAGCTTATGTTTAAAAATTTGCTTTACTGGAAACCTAAAAGTAACTGGGTTCTGATACTAGTTATGTTCTCTTATCACAGGGTAAAGGAATTGTGGGAATGCTCTTCCTGACCCTTTCGGCCAGCACTTGGCTTTTGGCTCCTGCCACTAGAGCTGTGGCGCAAAGTTTCAATTTCAATTTTGCAGTCTTGGCCCAAAACAAATATAACCGTCCACTGTTCATGAAAACGAACAAATTCAATGCAAGCAAATTTTTCAAAAATAAACATTCATTTGCTTTTAGTATTGCGGCTGTTTTTTTCATTTTATCAACAGCAGACGGTCATACTTGTTTTCGGTCAGGACTGCAAAGTTGTTGAAATTCAAATTTCGCGCCACTGTTCTACCGGCGTGAGTCAAAAGCCAAGTTCTGGCTAAATTGGTCGGAAAGAGCATACCTATGTTTCACTTACGTTGCTCTCATCAGATTACAATGTTATTGAGGGAAAAATAGATAGGTATCCCAGGATAAGCATATCAAAGTGCCCTTATAAATGGATTTATATTTTAACTATCAGGGTTCTAAACCTATAGTTTTGGAGAATTTTGACCCCAAAAAACTCTTTCTGATAACTTTTAACTTTCTTTTGAAGACACTCTTAATGACTTAAATAAAATGTTGACTTAAATGTTTAATTAAGAATCTGTTCACTGGCATTTCGGCAAACTTATCCTTGGAGACTCATTTTTCATAAATTCAACATCATGAATATTTCCTAAAAGATAATGGAAAGAGACATGTAGAAAATGATAAATAGAGATACGCATGAGAATAGAGATATGTAGTTCAATGGAATTGTACGCACCTGCGCTCAATTTTATGTGCAACAAGATGCTGCTCTAACATGTCCTTATCAGAATAGGCCATATTACATTCTGGACAACAAAAGAGTGTGGTTCCATCAAGTGCAGTTGCTATATGCACCTGACCCGGTCGGGGTTTCTTTGGTTTTGGTGGTTTCTTTTTGTACTTTTTCCGCTTTTTCTTTAGCTGCAAGGTAAATTATACAAAATATATATTTTTCACAATCAAAAAAATTCTGTGCAACACTTTGTGATACATTGCAAGAAAGGCTTAATAGGAGACTTTACTTGAGATATCATTTAAAAGAAAAAAAAAGAAGAAAAAAATTATGTAGCAAATACAGAGATGAATGTAAGTCAAATTAGCACAAGTTGCGAAACAAGTTGGACAGCACTGACAGAAATGTTAAATTTAAAAAAAATAAGAGGAAATTTCGATACACCCAAACGATATGAAGTGACAGCATTATAATTGTTCATTGTACAGATGAATCCTAGAAGGTCAAAGTACGACCAACAACTTTTTTTGGGCTGCAACTGAGGTATATGGAATTTCTTAAATGCTTGAAAAGAAACACGTACCGGGTTATTTTCAACAGTTCCGCTATTAGTTCCAATGATAAATTCACTGGTTTGAGTCTCTTCTTCGTTGGGATTAGATAAAGGCGATGATTCTATTAGGGCTTCTCGTTTGATTGTGTCTGCAGAAAACTTTAGGAAGTGTTGTAATGACATTGGTAATGAGGTAGTGCCAACCCGCGACAAATATTCAGCTATTTGGGACCCTGCTGCAGCATTTTGCCACTGAGCATTGTAATCTTCTGGAAAAGAAAAGAAAAAAAGAAAAATAATGAGACTTTATTATATTATAAAGCGCATTTTATGAGATATTTGAGATTTTTTATTGACCTGTGTTCTTAGTCAACCTATCATTTTTTCTACCAACAGATGTCCAAAGAAATATGTAAAGTAAAACAAATTTATTTTTTACTACGGACGGATAATCTACAAAACTACTTTCAAATCTAAAAAAGGCTATATGCTTGGTAGAATTTTAGATTTGAAACGTGGCCAAAATATTGAAAATTCTTATGTTATCCCTACAAACGTAGAATGGAGATGTTGCATGTGTGAGGGATTTGCAATTTGACTGTTGTTTCTTATGTAAAAGATCGCGAGAAACACGATGGTGCCACTGGTTTTCTCTGAAATCATCTCCCAAGCTCAAAAAATGCTCTCAAGTTGAGGCCAAAATGGAGGGGATATTCTGCCCTACCCTGAGAGTCCACCTCTACATGAAAACAAACTCTCCATGCAAAGATAGGGAGCAAATACATTGACAGGGCTGCCACTTCATTTGAGGACTCCAAAACTGAAAACATGGCAACCCTGCTAATGTATTTGCTCCCTATAAAGGCATGGAGAGTTTGTTTTGATGTAGAGGTGGACTCTCAGGGTAGGGCGGGATATCCCCTCCATTTTGGCCTCAACTTGAGAGCTGTTTTTGAGTTTGGGAGTTGATTTCAGAGAAAACCAGTGGCACCATCGTGTTTCTCGCGAACTTTTACATAAGAAACAACAGTCAAACCACAAATCCCTTACACATGCAATATCTCCATTCGGATTTATGGATTTGGTTGTAAAAATTTGAGGTCTGGATTCAGTTAAATTTGGGATTCAACCTATATCACTGTCTAAAATAAATTGTCTTTGGATAAGACAAGAGGACTCAATGAAGCAGGATCGATCTCATAAGTTTGAAATCTGACTACGCATGTTTAGACGCCAACTTTGGCAACGACTTGGATTAATGTGGGTTCAATTAGAAATATTTAGGCACATTTTACGCATAATGCTCATCAGATTTAAACACTGATAGCTGCATCAGTCTTATAGAAAAATTCAATTGAAAAATTAACCCTTTCCGGTCCGCAGCAGTTTTCCACGGCCGCGAGAAGCGAGGTTAAGGTAGCAGCGATGTTGTCAACAAAGACAGTGGTTTCCAAAGGGTCCACCAGAGGCCGCCACTTGCTGGAGCAGTTGAATATACCCGACATCAGGCCTGCACAGAGGTTGAAACTTTAGGGCGACTATATCCGACATCGGACCTAAACGCGTTATTTTTCACGGCGAATATATCCGACATTGGACCGGAAAGGGTTAAAAGAGGAAAACAGAGAAAAAAAACCAAATAAAAGACGTTACAATACTACCTCCACTCCTTGCATCTTTTTCTTTGGTTTTATCTGCTTCAGCCTCTGCTTGGGTTCTAATAATTATTTCTGGAGGAACTACAACAGCTACAGGATATGAACCTGCACCAGACTGGTCAGACAGAATTGGTTTAACATCAGACAGCATCTGAAAACATAGATTCTTTGATTACCGGGAACATTCTGCCAGGATTGCAAAACACATTTTACTGGACTTCCGTCCTCTTTAATCACAAATTATGAGTGCAGAAAACTTCAACTTCAACTGTCCTCTATTAAATCCACAAGGGTTTTCAGTACCCTCTGTTTGCTGGCAGCCAGTCTCTACAATAGGCTGCCAAAATTAGTCAAAGATATTGAAAACAGTAGGGCCGTCTTCAAAAACGCCAAAAATTTAATGATTACCAAAGCCTGCTACACAATAAATGAATTTTAAAAAGGAATATTTAAAAGGTAAAAGGTATTATTATAGATAGTTGTAAACCTCCTGACTTGTACGATAACAATGATTTTCGTTTTACTTGTACCAATTTATATTATTATGTACGACCGCAGATAGCCCCAACCGTTGCCTACGAGAATGGAGAGGCCCTAACTAGTCAGTTTTGTGACGTCAAGCTAGTAGTTATTTACCGAAAACAACAAGCATCTCCGGGTCATCGGTGCATCGCTGAGAGAGGCAGTCGCTGCGTGGACCAATCAGAGTGGCCCTTGATTGGCCGAACTTGCGCGAGCGGCCCATTTGAATCTGAGTGGAGTAACAATTTCGGTATTACGCTTTCATTATCTCGATTTTTAGACAATGTCACAAATGGGTTAGTTAGTTTTTCAAAGGGAAATTTCATCTTCTTTCGAAAAGGTTCTTAAGAAATTTTGCGTCAGATCAACCCTGAAAAAGATATCGGCGAGAATTCATCTTGCGGCAAGCGTTCTCCCATAAGAACGCGTGTAATACCGCGGTCAAGTTTCATTTACTAGTGTGACGTCACAGAATCGTAGTTACGGCCTCTCCATTCTCGTAGGCAACGCCCCAACATGCAGATGACCCATACCACAGATTTTGAGAAGGTCAAAAAAGAAAGGTATGCAATAGGCCAGTTGCAAACTTTTGCTAGAACAAAAATAAGAGTTGTTTCTGTCAATATGTGTCTCAAAAATCACGATGAGCATATTGGCAAAGTTTTAAATGCACTCTTAACTTTGTGAATTTTTCATTTTACCAGGTTGATAAATGAGTATTACCTGATTTTTTTATTTTTAATAAGTCTTTCAGTCTTTATTCGTCGGGCAGTCTTTTTAGTCTATGCGTAATTTTTAATTTTTATTTTCCGGTTTTTTAACTTTTAAGTGTTTTAACATTCTAAGTTTATCGAATATAGAATGCGCACTATAGTGCTAGTAAAGTGGTGAAGTGGCCTGAAGATGGAATAGGTATATTCCGAAATGTACATAGCCTGAAGGAAGAGAAGCACAAAACAACCAGGAAGAAAAAATAAATAAATCAGGTAACACTCTTAACTTCACAATCTGCATGAGATTGTTGGGTATTGCTATTACGAAAGGGTTGAATAGAACGACTCTTCTAGCAAAATGTTCACCTGCGCCGTAGTATCGTTTTTAAAGCAGGAAACTCAAAAAAACGCAGCTTTATTACGCACATTGTGAACTTAGGAGTGCATTTCATACTTTGCCAATGCGCTCAACATCATTTTTGAGACATTTACTGATAGAGACACCTCTTATTTTTGCTCTAGCAAAAGTTTGCATCAGGCCCATTTCAGTAAGTTTCACAAATAACCCACACCCTCATTGTCGAGAGTTGAACTCAGAAAAAAGGTGCAGGTTATCTGCGGGCGTATACAGTAAATAAAATAACTTTTGCAATATTACTTATTACGTAGGTGCTAGTTGTGTGGCAGTAGTAATATCATTTTGTTTGCATGAGATAGATGTTGGTTGAGACCATAGGTTGTCACAACATGTGAAATCACCAGCAATAAACAAATGAGAGATGTTCCATTTAATGCTTCGACTATAGATTTCTTTTGACCATTCAAAAAAAATGATTTGGCGCTTTGAAACTCAGAGACACATTTCTGGCTAAAAGTTGCCTTAGAGGCACTTCTTTACTTGCGATTTCTGAATTATGCATCAGTCCCATTGGAAAGGGGGGGGAAAAAACATTCAAAAAACTCTGCAGTCAGTAATATGAAGTTTCATTAAGAATGCGGAGAAGAATGATAAAATACCTCATCTGCTTGTATACTGGCATTCAAAGTTGATGAAGACGACGAGTCATTGTTGTTGTTACTGTTTTTATTGTTGTTATTGTGTTGTTCGTGACTTTCTCCTTCCAATTCTGGTTGAGATAGCTAGAAAGCAATACATTATTAAAGTACTATGGATACATTGATTATACACCGACAGTAAAACCAAATAGTTCATTTCAAAAGGCATCGTGGAGAAGCTCAGAATATAAACTCCAATTCTGATTTTTGGTTTTCTCTAGTCTTAATTTCTCCCCCGAATAGTGAGGACACAGCACTTTTCTACTATCCTGTCATTGACAGTATTCAGGCCATGATTTTAGTGTTTTTCTTATTCACTGAGGGCCATTCCTGTCAAATCATTTAACTAGTAGTTGACTGTCTGTTAAGGTCCAACTAGAGGTTGGTGTGTCTTGTCAATTTACAACTACTGGTTGAGAGGCTGTTAATGGGCTGAGTTTCAACTGGTGCTTTTTCTGCCTGTTAGATTTCAACTAGGACTTCAGACAAAACATTCGTTCCGGTTCTTCGCGTTTCACTAGTTCACAAAGAGCCTGATTTAACTACCTGGGCTTGGGTTGTGGACCCCACCACCCGCACCCTCCTCTTTGCAAGGGTTGTTTTGTCGTCTCTTTCAACTGCTAATTGAATTTTCGGCAAGGGTTCCCAGACATTAGATACGATCTGATGTAGGATATGAGGGAACAAATCATGTTAATGCACTATTTGGCAAGTAGTCTTTGTCCAGTAACTAGAGGTTGAAAATCAGTGACAAGACTCTCCTTTAGGTCGAACTGGAAGTTACCTTTAACTGGTAGTTCGTCAACTAGCAGTTGAGACCCGATTTGACAGGAATAGCCCTGAGTAAGATCTTATTGTTCCCACTTTCAATATTTCTTCAAAGAATAAGCATGTTAGAAACATATAGGAGTATTAATTTAGAGGAATTTCTCGGAAACGGGAAACCTACAAATTTAATCTTACTGTGGACTTTCACGGCAAATCCAAAGATGGGCATTAAGATGCTATTAAAATCATTTAAACTTAAGAAAACCCACATAAATTCAAGAAATTCAGACTAGCAAATGCAATATTGTCCATTCAAAGAAACATGCATTGATACATAATTTTAAAGAGCTAATAGTTTATTTCCAGCTCTGTAACACCCCTTTTTATCCAAAGGTTACCCTGGCCACCAAGTGATAGGCAAAGATTTACCTGTAATTGAATGGATTCATTGCCATCAGCAGGATTACCATACACAACATTCAGGACAGTTGCAGTGCCCTGTTGAAAATGTTGAAGAGAAACAGGAACTGCATGAATTTTGTTATCGCCACCTAGGTTCGGCAGTACTTGAATCTGTAGAGTTTGATGCTGGGATAAATCGCCAGGCTTCGCACCAGGCACTTGTATGGGCAGTGTTATTATCTGTTAAAACAATATTAAATTAGCTAGACTTATTTGGTGATTAGAGAGTATTAAGATTCTCATGTCAAAACAACTGATATTAAAACTTCTAGGTTCATTGCGTAAGGTTCAATTTTAATTCTACTCTGCACTGTTGACAGGTACAAGAGCATGTTTTGAATAATAAATTAATTATTTACAAGTAGATTTCAATATCAACAGATTCCAAAATCAGCAGAGTTTTCCAAATTTGAGTTTGATAAAAAAAAATAATAAGGCTATCTCCAATCAGTCATCACTGATGAACAGCTTTAAAGTTGGCGATACTCGCCATTGAAAATTTAGTAGCTCAAAACTTGAGCTATCAAGACGTTATCAAGAAATTTGCCGATGCAAAAGCAAGGAGAGCCTGTTTAGTAAATTAATGTTTTGGTATATTTTTGTTTACTTGAAGTACAATAGAAAAATATGAAGTTGTCTTGCCATTCTTTATTTTTTCTTACAAAAATGTAATTGAACACCAATAGCAAATGTGATCCACTAAATGACAGTTTCGGGAAAAAAGAAAAAGAGAGAAAGAAATAATTCTCTGAGCAATAGTTCTCCGGACTGATGATGAGCGCTTTTTATCAAAACTGTCAATGTAGGCACAACTTAGCTGCTGATTGATGTTCAACTGACCAGTTGAAATTACAGAGGCAGAATAAGCGAAGTAAGTTGATAATTTTTCAAAATTTGCTCCGAAATTTGCACAAAGGGTTCCTGAAAAACAGGTGGACCCGACCTGTGATGCCCTTGCATTGAAAGTTAAGGTTACAAAATTCTCCGGCAGGAAATTCTGATCCACTCTTTCCAACCCACAATTCAGGGAGGTATTTGGATGTCTCGCACAGGGTGCTATTAACTTAGAGGTCGGTCCAGTATAGCAGACTAATTTGGACACAGGAGAGATGCTTTGCTTCCTTTCCAATGATTTACTTGTAAAAGACTTAGGTAAAAAGAGGAGTTTTTTAAGTACCTGATTATGTTGTTGGCTGCTGGCAACAGGCTGTTGCTGAGCAAGATTAACAGTGAAGCCATTAGTGTCGACTGGTCTTAAATAAGTAACTCCACCGTCATCTGAACTGAGGACTCCCAGCACTTGACCTGTGGCTGCTGCGGCCATATTATGAGCAGAAAATTTTGCGCCTGTAGAGGCCAACTGATGAACAGACGCATTGGTACTTGCAGGTAAGGAATTGGTGGAAAATGTAGTTCCAAATGGAGTGAAATTCATACTTCAACAGTGCTAAAGTTTCTTAGGTCAGAAATTTGGAGATTTCCTGCTAGAAAACCATTTTCTTTGGACAAAAAATTTGGTCAGCGCCAGGCAATTACTAAGTTATTAGGGGTTCCACCTGCAACAATCAAAAGAAAAAGAAGCAAATGATAGGATATTATGAAAAAAATAATAGATGAAAAATCAAAAATTTTCATGATAAAAATTACTAGCCTTGCCAAATATTGAAAACTGATTTTAAAGTCTTAAACCTGAAATATATACTATAAGGAGAGAGACCTCCTATACACTACAAGTAAGCCTGACAAAACAAACAACTTGGTTGGCGATGTTCTGAATTTCACACCCTATTTGAGCTCCATTTATCAAAAAAAGAATTGAGATTTTTAGAAACTCAATGGGCTTGTTCCTTAATTGGTTAGCAGACCTTTCCAAGTGTTGATGTTCATCTATGCGTACTTGCTTCCTGATGGTGAATTGATTACTTCTAAAATTACTCTTAATTAATTGATCTTCAATATCTTTCTCCAACAATATGAAAAGGAAGGATGTGTTCCTTGGTAACTGTCTATGGACCCAACCTGACTCTTTTTTTTATCAACTGGAGAGCATTATTTCACAATAGGTGCAAAACGAATAATTATTTTTACACCAACCTTAATTTTTTCCATCAAGAATAAACAGACAAGAAGCCTGCCGTTCGTTGAAATTATCAAATTAGGCATCTCTACAAATTAACATGAAATTCTACCTACCACTATCAATAAGCAGACCCTCTTCTTTGACATAAAAGTAGGTTCTGTTGGATTGAAGATTTTCATTACTGAAAATGCATTTGACCAACGAATGTTCAACTAATTGGGCACATGAAATTTGAAACCTAAAAAGTATGCTTTTAAATGAAATTATTCAAGATTGTCCATGGAAAAAGGGACTATAGATTTTTCTCTGTGAATTATGGTCTACTTTTTCAGGAGACTGTCACACATTCCAAATCAATTCAATGGCCAGCATATTTAAGTGAGAGCATTCACTTACTAGAAGACTTTTCTTGGTCCATCTGACAGGAATATTTGCGAAGATACTTAAACTGAGAGTAAGTAAGGAAATTCATATCCTGAAAAGAATGCTCCTCTGGGCATGTATATTGTCAGGTATACAAAATGGCAAAATAAATTATTTTTAACTTGTTCACTGACATTCCTAGACTCAACTGCTCTACCTGGAATGACTTCCACAGTATGGCAACCCAGGAGTGAAGAAAATGCTTGGGCACAGGAACCCTGCAGTCTGATTGTTGAAATTTATGTCTGCACGACAAGAATAAAAAATTGATATAGTACGCAGCGCAGATAGGGCTGTCTTGTCTTATCTTGCTGACATAGCCAGTTAAAGTTTCAACCATCGGGCTGCTGGATGGCGTGTGAAGTAGGGAAATTTTTTTGAAGAAACTCTTCCTTTAAACTAAAAAATGAGAAAAAGTAGATATTGTCGTGATTTCTGCCTTTACTGGCTCAGTGCCTACTTTTGACCTAGATGCATGATGAGGATACTCGCCAGGAGTGAAGGATTTCTGAGGCCAAGATTGAACGTACCTACTGAATTTATTCCCCAAAGAACTTTCTGCACCCTTGCAGCAAACAACAGCTCTCTTTTATGAGTATGCAAATGCAACTCATACAAGCCAGACATGAAGTATATATTATGTTGCAACTTGTTTTCATAAAATGACCTCTCTCATATTTTATATTTGATAACCAAATCCAAACAGTAACAGTTAGATTATGCTTCCGGGGATACACAAAATTGATATACCTACATAAAGAAAGAATGCATAAAGAACGCCCTTGCTGTACCCATTGTCTTGACTGCTGATATATTTGATAAGTTGAAAAAGTAACCTTCCAGTACGTCAAGCTTGTTAACTTGGCATTTCATTTGGTGGCCGCTCGGCTCATCAAATGGATAAAGCTATATCTCATGCAATACTTTAGAATGGGAATGAAAAGTAGAAGGTTGTTCCAGGAATTAAATCATTTTGAGAAATGTTAAAATAAAACAAGACAGGTTAAAACTTGATAGAGTATACTTAGACATCCTAATGAGATTCTACTGTACTTGCTGGTTTTATTCAGGAGCAGGCAAATGCTATATTTCGACGGTGCAAGTCGGCAATCACATAACTCGGTTTGCGACGTCGCAGACTTCCTGTCATACTTTATTTTTTAAATGGAAAACTACTCAACGGCAATTCTTTAAAACTGTCATGATTTTTCTTCTCGATGCGAGGAAAATTCTGCGAAAACTTCAAGAAATAATTTCATTTTGTTTTCCTTTAAAAAAATGACGTAGAGGCGGAAATTTTCCGACACCGCAAACGAGTTATGTGATTGCCGACTTTCACCATCGATTTGCTTCTAGATTGATTAACATCTTATGCTATAGTATAACTTTGATCTTAATTTCAATAAAATTAACCTGCTAGTATTGTTTCATCCCACTGGAGTTTCACTGAAACTGTCAACAAACTGACGCAAGTGGACAAAGCCACAGAAATTGACTTAAGAGAAACGGAAAAATTAGAGAAGCATCTGCTGGTGGAACTCCAGACTTCCAATTTTTTAAGAAGATTAAAAGAACGATATTTCAACATAGATCATTTACTGACGTAGTTGTCTGGATATTGGTGAAAGTGTTGGAGAAATTTATCAAGAACCAGAAGGAAAAGGTTGAAGTTATGTGTTCCAAACACAAATTATATCTTACATTGTGAGAGAAAGTGTTTACCAGAGAAATTAGGGAGAGAGAAGAAATTTGGAAAACTCATAAGACAAAGTGCCGCTCGTATTTACAGTCAGCTCAGTAAATAGTGATAGTTGAGGTGTCCTCCGAGGAAAATGCCGGGGGAAGTGTGCCTAGCAATAACTATAAACAAAGTGATGTGACCAAAATTAAAAGTTGAATCTGGTAAATCTAAGCCAGGAATGAGCTGAAAAATGGGTTTTCAGTGAAATGAAAGTCTGAGGACCCAACCAGGATGTGAGACCTACTTACCAAAAAATGTTGGAAACTTTCTCATTTTGACAGCTCTTGAAGAGATGTGAATTCCACCGACACGGATTTCAAATGTTGTTCAACCGGCTTGAAATACACACTAGAGTTACGAGAGTTTGAAACGCATCTCTAAAACGCAATTAGAAATTATATGGATAGGTAAAATATTTTTAACCACTAGTTGAAATTAACATAGCCTAAAAAACTGATGATCCATCCAGATGAACCCTGTGAGTAACAGGGTCACGATAAGTTACGCAGTGAATCATGGAGTTTGTAATAAATTAGCCGCAGGTTCACTGACAGTTTTTGTGCACTTGTAATCAAATTAAAAATTAAATAAGAGTAGAATGCATCATAAATTGTAAGCAGTAGTAACAGGAATTCCACGGAAAATGACAACAAAACTGATTCGGGAATTGCGTTGCTGCCGACTCGGTACGTTGACTCTCGAAATTATTATATCGAATTCCGTAATCGTTCGTCTGGCGCTGAGCGCTGGCGCCCTCTTGGAAATTCCGATCAAAAACCGCGCGTAAGTTCAAAAAAGAAGTACCTACTTAACCAACTGTCAGTACTCCAAGTACTCCAACCACGACATGAAATCAACATAAGATCGGAACATGTAAATGATTTGATTTTAGAAAATAACCTAGATATCACCTAGAAACAGGTAGCACCTATTTGCTAGGGTAACCTTGAGCTCCGGTACTAATTGCTTTGCCGATCGCTCCTAGAGTGATATACAGGGTGGAAAAATTTCATGAAAAATTAAATCTTGAAATTTCACGTGAAATATTTCATGAAATTTCAGAAATTATGAAAGATATTGAAGAAACTAGTTCCTTTTCATATTTCGTAAAATGTAAAAATTGTGACTTTTCTATTTTTGTGTGTTCGCGTGCAGGTTGCATACTCTAGCCCCTGAAAAATATGAAATATTCCACAGCCTCGTGTAATTTCATGAAATATTTCACTGAAATTTCTAATCTTTCATTTCTTTCTTACGTTTCATGTCACCTTGCTGATAAATACGCATTTTTCTCACACGAAGAAAGATGCACGATTTTTACGACCCTGTAAGCCTTTGCTCCCTTTCTGCAACATGCGATCCAAGAGCCTTCAATTTTCGAAGAAGGCAAAAAAAGAGCTCTTATGAGTCGTACCTATGCAAACATAATTATTCAGGGAAGAGTTTGCATTTATAGTGCTCAGTGCTGCTAAAATTCTTTCTTTGCAATGCAAGGACAGGGTGAACCAAATTAATATTCCTTTCCAAAACCCCCGATAATTTTTCCTGATTGAGATAGAGATTCTTTCTCTCTATTTCCTCTTCTTGTCCTGTAAAACATGATTCATACGACAAAAACTACTGAAATTAACTCCTAACTAAGATATTAATGTATACATCAGGCCCTGGTTACGAAAATTTTGACTTTTCTGCATAACAATGTACATAGTACATGTAATGGCTGGGCCAAAGTGCTCAGATTGAGGATGCAATATTTTCATTTTTTTGGGCAGACACTATTGCAGTAATGTTTAGCATATGGTTTAATTAAGTAGATTACGGTCTATTTCTATGAGCAGGAAGTCTGAATTAATGCCTTAAAAACCGTGTATATCTTAATCAGCGGTTACTTTCAGTAGCTTGTGTTGCACAAATCTTGTTCTACGTGAAATTTTGATGAGATAACGCACATCATAGTGCCTAAATATCTATCTCTTTCCTGTCTCATTTCATTTTTCCACATAGAAGAAAACCCATCAGGAAGTGTACTTCCCAAGTAATGTTTCAAACATCATGTTTCTCCTGCCTAATCAAGAAAAAGAAAAAAACTTGGACAGAAATTTAATTACCTACGGATAATCACTTAATGAGGATGAAACTAAAAATCTCTCGATGTGCTTTAGGTGATTCAAAATGTTTGCTTTTCATTTATATTATCAAAAGAAGATTAACCAATGTTTTTGTATTTGAGCAATATTTTTAGAAAGACGGTAAAAACCGATCTCCTTGCGTTGTGGATGGTTAGTCTTTCTTTATTGTCGAACACAATTTGGTGAGACATTTGCAAAGTTTCAAACCAAGATTAAGATACAGAGAATCGTGATTCCATCATTGCTATGTACTTCCTTATGCCTTGTCTCCACGGGACGTTTCACAGGATTTTTCCCAAGTTCGAATCCCAGGAATGAAACTTCTGGGCTTTTATCCCATTAGACAACACACCAAAATTTCTTCTCCTTCTTTTTAAGTCGTTCCTGGGACTCCACAAGGACTCTTAGTTGGTCCTGTGATTACTATTCACCAACTTGATATTTTTCCCAACTTCGCAAGTGAGATTTTCCCTTAGACAAATCCCGTGAAACGTCCTGTAGAGACAAGGCCTTAGTTTCACCGACAATAAACTGCTTTTGCACAAAAATTTTTACATACTTGATATCATTTGATCCCAGAGACTTAGTTAGAGTCAAAGAAATAGAGACACCTCAAATAAAAGTACAATCACAGAAAATCGTTGCATGTTTTGTGTATCAATTATTTTTCTCAAATCTTGTGAAATTTGGGTGCAGTGTTTGATATATAATAATTTGTTTCTAATCCAGCCCATATTTGAGAAGCTTAGATACCGCAGTGTCTAGATAATCAAGGTTACATTTCACTTTTGACAGAGTTGGAGTTTTTCCAACAAAAAAAAAAGAAGCAAGATATCCAACATAATTACCACAGTTTAATCAATTTTATACAAGTCACACAACAATAAACAACCGAATAGAGGGAGTTTGCATCTGATATTAAAAAAGCTATTTTACTGCCAAGTCTAGTGAAAGATAAACATGAACATGAGGATGAAAGTGTAGGTTTAAACTGTACACTAGTTGTTTTCTTGTTTTTTAAAAATTTCAAAATTGAAATTAAATGGTCAGCGATAACGAGCCATGGGAAAAATTTAAGGAGAATTACAAAATTTGAAAGAAATTAGTTTCAGGAAGCCGCGATGGAAGAAGCGGACTTTATCAATATACATTCAGGAGACAAAGCAAATATTACACAAAAAGTGTTGGTAACTGATTTGAACTTCAGCTTGGCTTTATTTGCAGACCACCAGCAGAAAACTCCTATTTAACTATAGGTACTCTTAAAAATACAGAAATCATGACACGAGAAATTACCTTGTGTACAAATTGTGTGGGGATCAACAAAGCTGACGGTACACCTAGAAATCTATCAACAATAAGAGACATCAAAATAGTGACCTTTTTTGCTTAGTCTAAAGACATTATAACACATCGATAGTGGGTTTCCCTAACTTGCCGTATTTTCGCATGGTAACTGTTTACTGTGGCGCCCTATGATAGATGGTGTAAAGAGAGGGAGAGTGATTGGGGTTCTACATTTCGCCAGTTCAGAATTGTAAGTGACTGCATTTAGAGAAAAAAGTTACTAGACCTTTTTGGGAGAATGTAACTAAAATTTCATATCAGCTCCTTACAAGGCACACATCTAAAAATAAATTAGAAAATGGTTGTTGCGGAGTGCCAAAATAGGAGAATGGGTCACCACGCTTTACAGTTACCCACTGTCTAAGTTATTATGTCTTCAGCGTAGTCACAAAAGGAGAGAGAAAAAGCACTGTTGATGATCAGGAGTAAATATTCTACTTATGTACAAATCTGATATAACATTATATGCTATTGTAACTATAATATATACGCATTAATAGAATATAAGAATAAATACTCAACTTAAAAGGATGAAAGAAAAAAACCATTACGGTTACCGGTGTTGAGAGAAAACATATGATACAGTCTGAGTGTCCAAACCATCAAATCATTAGAAAAAGAGTAGATAAGTGTCAATGATTAAAAACCATTCTAGGACAAAATGTTGCAAGGAGGATAGTCTCGGATCCAAAATATTTGGCCAAGAGAAGAAAAGACAATGCTCTTCTTGAGGAAGAAAAAAAAAAAAAAAAGCTTTTAAATCTTATTACCTCCATGATCACAATCATGAGGTCACGATCAGATATGATAAAGTTAAGTTCGATTTTGGCTTCATAGCATTGTCAATTTGATGGGACCAATTGGAACTTGAAGTATATCTCATCACTCAAGTGAAAAAAAAGAGAGGAAAAAAAAAATTACTTTTTTTCATGTAGTGCTGAAATTGTACGTCAGAGCAGAGGAGCCTCTGCTCCCTCTATTTAGCAAAAACATTAAGATTAATAATTTTCAAAGATTTTTCTTGGTTTAATTTTTACTGACAAACGATTCAATATGGAAGTTATAGGGTATACTGAGAAATGGGTCAAAAGAGCTTCTGAGTGCGCCACCAAAGAGTATGTATTCTAAATCGACAAAATCCTCTTCCCCTGGATGTTGATCAATTTTTAGATTCCTTAGTATGATATATGACCACTATAAAAATTTTATGGCCTTACACGAATTCACATCAGGTTTCAGCGTTGCTAACTTTGAAGCTTTATCGAGCTGAATCTTCGGAATGGAAAATAATTTTCAGCCATTTTTCGTGCTAAATTTTTAAAAACGCATACTTGTAGGATACAGACTCGGGAGATTTTGCAGACTTTGGATACACCCCTATATTACAAGCAAAACACAGAGGGGTTTGACAGGTTGGGAAAATCTGTCCTTATACAAAGCATTCTGAAATTATCATACCATAATCTTACAATTCCTGGATGTTTATGATTATTTGATCTCTCCTGGTATCAGTTGATATAATTAATCTTTACAGGATACTTCATCTGAAATGAAGGCTCCAAAACCTATCTGATATTATGCGATCAACATAAATTAAATTTCTTACAGAATGTCTACAGGCTTGCTGGATAAAAATTCCCTGAATTTACACACTGACAATTTGCACGGAAAACACTGAAAACTGAAACACTTTTGGGATTAATTTTACTGCAAATTACATAAACTTTTTCTTCAGATACTTATTAATCATTCAATTACATGACTAAAATTACAATATCTCAAAGAAAATTAATCCTCCGTTCAATACTCAGAGCGTGGATTTTTTTTTTTTTTTTCCGGATTTCAAGTTCCGGTTTTCTAAACCTGTAGACACCCAGTATTCACAATGCTTAGGCACCCTCAAATGAAAACTTTGTTGACTTTGCCTTGGTTTTTCAGATCTAGGAGGTGAATCAAACCACCTCGTAACAGGATAGTTTTGTCTATTTCAAAATAGACGGATTAAAAAAGGTCTGATTTTTTTCTTTTCTTTAAAAAAAAAAACCAAATATAAGTTAGTTTCATGAATAAATTAAATAGCTTTCCATGTACGTAATGATTAAAATGAGAACCAAAAATGAAAAATAAAGGGAAAACCTTGACAACAGTCAGGTTCATAGAGTTAAAAAAACAAATAAATGGACGTTGTGCTACTGCCCTGTGAGAGGGAGCAAGGAATGAAAAAAGGTTTTCTGAGTGAAGGAAAATACACTCTTTAGCTATTCAGAAAAATACAGCTGCCTGTAAATGAACAGAAAAAAGATTTTTGATTGAAATTGGCCCTTACAGATTACTCTCAAAAGTCAATCAAGCTGAAGCCATTGCTTGATTTGAAGAGGAACATGCATTTAAATTTCTGAATTACTTGATCCATTAAAAAAAAAAAAAAAAAAAAAAAAAAAAAAAAGAGGTTGCAAGGCACTTGAGTACGAAGAATCTTCTCCTCGGTTCCTTGTCCGTTTTGCCGGGTATACTTGGTATGAGAGAAAACTAACTTTTATGACGTCACATTATCAGGAAGAGGCATGTTTCCAAGTAGACAAGCATGCAAGAATATATACCATGGTGTAAGATACGCCTATACTGGGCTCCTAAAGCAACCATTTGACTGTCAATCAGCACAAGGTTTCTCATGCACTCCTGACGTAGCTGCTCCTGCTGCTCCTTAACTAATATCACTTGTAAATGCCAGAAAACAGGAGAAATTTGAGCTGAGGAAACAGGGTCGGATGGTGCTGAGTTCTTGTCAAAAGCCTTCGCATTTTCTACTGGAGTAGCCTCATGTTCCAAATAAAGTTAAAACAGCGGCAGAGAACCGTGACAACAGAGAAAAGCGAAAAGAACAATGCAGATAAAGCTGCCACTGTAAGACAAACCAGCTAAACAGTAATGATTTTGACCCCAATTTTTCATTCCTATTATGTATATATATATACATATACAAATTGTAACAAAAACAAACACTTACTAATAACTAAAAGGAAGTTCCTTACTCCTTAGTTAGGAACAGAAACACATCTTCAAAATATGAAAACCGAATAAACTCTCAATTAGATAAGAACTGCAATTAAAAGTTTGAGGTCAAAGCACTGAAATAGTTTAACTCCTGCTTGAAAACAAACGGGAAGGGGGAGGGGGATGAGGTAAAAACCATACAATTTTAGTTGAAAAGGAAAATAAAACCTTTTAAAACTACTTAACAAATAAAATCCTCTCCACAAATCTGGACGTCAAATCGAACATCTTCAGATACCTGCTCTTCTTGGATAAGGTCAAGTCTGAGAGGGATTAAAAACTGAAACACAATCACACAATAAATCATCAGTATACAAAAATGCCAAGAGAAGCTTGCGTAGTTAAATAAAATTTATACTGGCATTACAGTGATGCAAAAAACCTCTCTTCTTCAAAAAATTTTCAGCCTCTTTCCAACATTAATTTTTCCCCGAGATTTCTATCCTCTTTGTTCAGCATTACCTCTGGTTTTGCAGATGAAGTGCAAGCTTCGCATTGGAGAAATGTTCAAAGAACCCTGATCTGACAGATATTAAAATGGCTTTCTGTACATTCCTTACTCTGTGGTATAAAATCATAAATATAACTCGTAACCTCTGCATAGATTTTTTTTCTTATTATGCTCACTTCTGGTAAGCTATGGACGAAACCATCATTTCTAGAGATTTAAATTACTAAGCAAGGCACTTGGAAGTTTTTGGTCCTCTTCGGAATGGCACCAGCTAAAGATGTTGATCAGGCACACTACTCGTAAAATTCCTTGACATTCCTTATAATTCTTTGACTTTCCAAGATTCTAGATTTGCTGATGAAGCTAATGTTCTTGAAAAATATAGAGAGCGCTGCCAACCAGTTTTCTCAAGGCTCAAGACGGGTGTGTGTACCAAAGTTCCTGACTTCCTACTAACTTTTCATACTCTCTCTAATTTGTCCTCGCTGTCTCGAATGGGTCAGTTGCGCTGGTCACAGAATCGTATTTTGATGGTTGATTATTGTAGATAAGCAAAAAATAATAAGATCTGTGTAAACTGCAACTTTCTACGTTCAAAATTAACCGAGATATTGCCCTTTGAAAAGTCAAGCTTTTGATGTCATCCACCGTGGCAGTGACACCCTTGGTTTTTCTTCTTTTGTTTGATCAGTGATGCAGAGGGTGCAATGCAAAACTTCAACTACGTTAAACATAAACAAACTCAAGAAACAGACGGATTCGCACAATAAAGATCTTCTTATCAGGAGATAACGCACTTGCCACGAAGAGATAAGGCACTCAGTCAGTTCACCTGTTTTTTTACGTTTCACATCGTTGAAATTTCGCCTTGCACCCTCTGTATCACTGATTGCACAAAAGAGGAAGAAACCAAGGGTGTTACTGCCGCAGTGGTTGACGTCAAAAACCTGACATTTTAAAGAGCGATATCTCATCTAATATTGAACGCATAAAGTTGCGGTTGGGACGGATCTTATTATTTTTGGCTAATCTACCATAAATAAGCATCAAAACACGATTAAGTGACCAGCGCAACTGACCCATTCCGAGATCCTGGTTTTCTTGCTTCTTGTCCACCATGCGATACTTAACAAAAAAGTTTTTCAACATGTTTAAGTCATACATGGTATTAACAGACTCATGTGGAGCATGGTAATCCTGTTATGTTAGGTGCTCCCATCTAGGATTTAAACTTGGCGATAATGAGCTATCTCTCTATTACTGCGAGCAGTTTTCTTCGCATGGCATGTTGACGGCAGTTGATTTATTATTCCTTCCCCCTCTTGCTAAAATTTGTTTACACTTTTGAGCTGGACCATAATGCTGTTGGAGATCCTTCTCTTCCCGTTAAAGCATTACATGAAAATGAACAGTTATTTATTGTTAGGAAAAAAGAACGTAAGAATATATAGTTACCTCATTAAGAGTTTGCATTCTCCTCTTCTATTAATTCTAATTTTGGTTTTTTACAGACTGAATAACCGTTCTCCAAGATGTTGACAGGTATCGAGCCCTGGGAGCTGTTAGATGTGTGTCCATTTTCTATTTCCTTTTTACATGTCACTAATGTGAGAGGATCGTCTTCACTTAGTCCACCGTATGTTTCTTGAATCTGTATTTGTGGTGGGGAATTTGGCTGATCTCCTACCATACTCTTATCAATGATGACTTGCTCGTAAACCAGTTCTGTTTCTTCTTCTCTGGGACGTTTCCCACAGTGGTCTATCGATTCACTACTGCTCGGAGATACCGCACTGAAAAACCATAATTAATGAGCTTGATGAGAGATACAAGTAGATGAAAATGTTGAAACACTTTGCCGATTAGTTTTTTCTCCTACATTCACTCTTGACTTAACAGTCATTGTTACACCAGATATTTGCAGAGATACCAAACAGGTCCAGAATGACCTTAAAAGTTGTACAGTAAAACTGACAAGATAAGAGATTAGATGAGCAAAAAAAATCAAAATGTAGTCCATGCGTTGAACTCCCAATTTGATGACTATTGGACATATCGCCATTTTCTTTCTTTTAAATGTTAAAAACCCTTCTTTATTTGAGCCAAAATATTTATCCCCAACAAAAAAAAATGGAAATAAATAATTTGTGAGAAAAAAAAATGATTGTTATCACGCTATACGGCTGATGAGAATAGAAAAGTGTCGTAATTACCATTCATCAATGAAAATGAAGGTGGTTAAATTAGATACCAGAATTAGGTATGAAAGCAAGGTCATTAATACTCATAATACAATGAGAAGTCCGCGACAAAGGAAGTTTGAGTCAAGGAGTTTGTTTAGTGCCTTTGTTAACACCAAAAGTTTAAGAAAGCTGACTAACACTTACTTATAACTTGAATAGGCAGCTTGCACTATGACTGGTGGCTGATTCAACATGGGAGGTGATACAGAGGGCTTTCTACTGATGACGCCAGAACTGCAATTCCCACTCACGGTAGAGATCACATATTTTTCTGAAATGAAAAACAGCGAGTTTTTATTCTGATCCATGGTGCAAAGAGGCAAGAATGCGGCCAATTGTTTTTAGCACTGATAAAGGACTTCTAAAGTAAAAGGGTGTGATCAACATCCTTACTTGACAGCTTAATATCAGAATCCTTGTGCTTTGAGGAGCTCAAAAATGTATCCTTTGCATGGACATCTCAGCTGCATCGTCCAACCAGTGCACCTTGAAAATGATGCTTTCAGCAAAAAAAGAGCAAAATATGATATTCTGCCCTAAAGGGCAATACTTGAGGCAGTCAATGAGTGTTACCCAAGTCATTCTCTATGTGCAAGGTCTCTTTGATTTTTGACTTTTGGCTAAAATGCTGTACAAAATTCATGAGACTGTTATTCTTAAGGTGTAAGAGAATTTTGCCTTGGTGAAACCAACAATCCATATAAAGAGCAAATTTGCTTCAGTGCAAAATTCACTGCAGTTTTAACAGTTACACATCTACTACATCTTGAAAACATGTTTTTACTGATAAGAGCCAATAAAATGAAAATACGATTTGATGAGGCTGTATGCCACCTCCCATTGCTAACCGCGCTGATTGACATGAGACACTATTCACGATGAATATTCCTGAATGGCCCTTAGTGCGCTCAGTTAGTTGGGCCAGTTACTCGCTTTGGTTTTGTATGACATCTGTTCACAGCTTTAATACTTCCACTTCAAATGTTCTGTATACTTTAACTGCAAAGTTGAATGAAGTGATTTTATTTATTATCTACTCTACTTTGTTTTGTTTCTGATTCATTGTGCTGCCATTTAATGAGTCAGCTGCACTGGTCTCAGAATCGTGTTTTGATGCTTGGTTATTGTAGATCAGCCAAAAATAATGAGATCTGTCAAAAGAGCAACTCTCTACATTTAATATTAACTAGGGCTGTGCGAGTACTCGAATTTCGAGTCGAATCGAGCCGTGTATCGAGTACTCGACTCGGCTCGAAAGTTAGGTTAGGTTCGAGCGAGTACTCGAACTCGGCTCGAGTGTCAACAACACGAGTTTTTTCGAGTATTTCGAGTTTTTTTGAGCCGGAAACGCCGAAAGAGTCCAACTTCCAAACATTTCAATCATACTTTAACTATTGTTAGTTTTGCCATCATTTTTAGATTGAATAACATCAGAGTCTCGTCGGCAAATTTCTACCATCCGCAGCGCCAACACGCTACCGCCCGGCGATTTCCTGCCGCGCGCGCGGTTTGTAACTACACGGAGTCATATGAGCGCATTTATGCGCGCAACAAATTTCAACCTGCGGCGGCGACCGCCGCTAGAAAATAGATTAAATCACGTTTTAAAACTCGAAATTACTCGAACTCGACTCGAGCTCGACTCGGCTCGAGGGTCATTTTCAAAGCTCGAAAAAGCTCGAACTCGGCTCGACTTAGTGAAAAAATACTCGAACTCTGCTCGAATCCAAAAAACCAGGCTCGCACAGCCCTAATATTAACCGAAATATCACGCTCTGATATTCTGTTTATGACGCCATCCACTACAGTTGTGACACCCTTGGTTTCTTCCATCTTCCTTTCATCAGTCAGGAAAGCTCGCATTTGCATTAGTGACTCAACAAGTAACTCAGATGAAAGCAAGGTGGAAAAAGCCAGGGGAGTCGCAACCGTAGTGGAAGAAGTCATAAACCAAATTTTTCAGAACATATCTTGGTTGACGATGAACGTAAAAAGTTGCTGTTTGGACTGATCTTAACATTTTCAGCTGATCGACAAGAATCAATCATCAAAACTTGATTCTGAGACCAGCGTAACTGTCCCGTAGTATGAGTGTTCTTCTTACTTGTATTTTCGGCTAGTTAGAGTCCGTTTTTTTACGGAATAAATGAATGAAACCTACGAAAGACTCGACATTTTTTATCAATCAAAAAAGTTCGATACATTGAGAGCAAAGGGAATAAGTAAATCAATTTATTGAAATCGTCTGAAAAGGAAGCCTATGAGATTAATCTAATATGTAGTTTAAAATAGTTTGATGGGAGACTGACTCAGACAGGTGGCTGGATTATTCGGACTTGGCTGCTAATTTAGAGTGGATGGTAGAAATACTGAAAGCAAGGATTAAATCAATTTTATATTTGGCACAAACCTTCTCCTACATTAGCAGAACTGGTAGAGATGCCATTGGTAACAAGAGTGATATGTTGCGCACCCTGAGAGCCTGGTACAACCAAACGTTGCTTAAAATACTGCAGACCCACTTCATTGCCTGTTTAACAAGTTGAAAACAAATACAATGGCTGTGGTGTAACTGTTAAAGAAAATCACTGACAATTAGGATTGAAACTTGAGGTGCTAGAAAAATGGTATTACGAAGACAAAATGCAGCAATCGATCATTTCCGGAAGACCAACAAATTTTCTGAATTGTTTAAATTTTCCTAGTGAATTTGATACCCAATTCTGAAAAAAAAGGCTTCATTGATATTTGAAGGATGCAAAGCTGCAGAAAGACCTTAGCCTTCCCATTTTGGAAACCATTGTTCCCTCAAAAATTTCAACATGATGACCCATATTTTGCATGTTATGAACAAACAGTCATAATTTTGCAAGAAAAAATATTTTTTGCTTAAGTGCCCCGGTCTTTTCATTTTAAAAACCTGTATTCGAGGCCTTTACATTTTTGCACTTCATTGATCTAGATAACTGGACAATCCCTATTTTCGAGGATTTGAAAATTCAAAGAATATTTGCCTTTATTCAAGGACTCGAAAGTTTGAGAAATATTTAACTTTATTCAAGGATTATTTAGGCAGCACAAACTATTTGAGCCTTATTCAGAAAAAATAAAACCGATCAATTTTTGAATTTTCCTCTGACTGAATTGATTTGAAATCACTGTAAACAATAGTGTGGACAAAAATGGACAAATATGGACCAGGCCGCTACAAATTCAATGGGAGTCAACTTACAGATCAGTCACTTTTCAAGATCAAAAACTTGGACTGTTCAGGACCAAAAGGAATCATGAGACAAAAACATGAAATTAAGGCTTGACAATGTGTAGCACTGCAGCTAGAAGCTGGTGTAAGGGTACCGGTACCTAAGTGTTCTCCATCGTATTTTTTAAATATTTATCTCTCTTCTGACTCAAAATACAATAAAATACCAATCTAACCCTCCAATCCCCAAATCAAAGACATATGTCCATGGATGGCTGTTAATTCCTCGGAAAAAAAAGGAATGGAAGCCAAACAAACCAAAAAAAAAAAAAAGGAAAAAAGACCCGTTAAGCACAAATTTTAATTTTGAAAACGAACACTCAGTGAGAATGACGGTAAAAAAAACAATTGATTTTAGTTTTGATGAAAAGTAACTCTTGAATCGATAACAAAAAATTTCAATGATAAGCCTGATTTTTACGACAAATGGAGTGTTCAAATTCCAAGTGCTTGCAAAAGCTTACGTGGTAGACTCAAAAGTATTTGATTGAGCAAGAGTTTGAAATAAATGAATAGATAAAATAAAAATAAAAGAAAAAACTTTATTGGCAATGTATTTCTGAAAGTGAGTTGGGCTCCATTTCAGATAGTGTACCTTTTAAATTTTCTTGCACAGATACCATAAATACAGAATGAGCAAGCCGATAAAAAAGATAAACTTGTATGAAATGAGGTACATATACGGACTTCTGCTAATCAGCTGCTCTCAGAGAGCAAAACAAATGATATAATTAAATCAATCATATAATCAAATCAATGATGATATAATCAAAAGTATCTGCAATGCGCAGAGCAAAGTTTCTCATTTTTCAAAAGATTTTTATCAAAATTCTTCATATTTTTTAATTTGAAAGGTTTTTTTCTTATTCAAATTCCCAACAAGAAAGCACAAACCTACAAAAAGAGTTGAGAGAAAAAAGGAAAAAAATGAGATAGACAGAAATACCTGTGCTACCAGGGGAGCCTGGAGCAGACTGACTAGCACCTGGTGAAGGGACTGTGCTGTCTGCGACAGGTGAGCTCTCTCGAGATAATGAGTCCGGAGTCATTATACCTGACATACCAACATGACTCGGTGATGATGGAGCGCTTCTGCTGGAAAAGACGAGAGATGGAAGGTCAAGGAATGAAACAAAAGATAACATACGTTCAAGGAGTTTGTAACATGATAGAGAGCAAAGGAAATTTTTCAAAAATTAAAGAATGCGTTGAAAAATAAAGTTGCAGTCATAACCCCCTTGTCACAATATAGTGCCTCAGAGTGGTGTTGGGTTGTCGATCACACAGATGGAATAAGTTTTTGATAGTTAGTGCAGACCCTTTGCTAATCATATAGATCATACCATTGCCTACGAGAATGGAGAGGCCATAACTAGTCAGTTTTGTGACGTCAAGCTAGTACATATTTACTGAAAACAACAAGCATCTTCAGGTCATTGTTGCATTGATGAGTGAGGCAGTTGCTGCGTGGAAAAATTAGAGTGGCCCTAGATCGGCCGAAGTTGCGTGAGGAGTGCATTTGAATTTGAGCGGAGTAACAATTTTCGGTATTACGCTTTCATTTCTTCAATTATTAAACAATGTCACATATGGGTTAGTTAGGTTGCTGAAGTGAAATTTCATCCTCTTTTGAAAAGGTTCTTCTGAATTTTTGCATCAGATCAACCCCCGAGAAGATATCGGCTTGAAAGAAACACCCGTCAGGCGTTCTCCCATAAGAACACATGTTAAACAGCGGCTGAGTTTCATCTACTAGCATGACGTCACAGGGACGTAGTTACAGCTTCTCCGTTTTTGTAGGAAACGATCATAATAATTTGGCACATTAGCATACCTAACAAATCTGTCAAGAGCAAATAAACCAGCCAAAACCATTCCAGTAGCTGTGCTTATGCAGTTTATTTAGTTGAACTTAAATTTTATTGCCAGATGGCAACATATAGCATGGACATGGTGCATATAGATGTGTGCTTAATAACGTATTCGCACATTTCAAAAAAAAAAAAGAAAGAAAAATAACCTGTACGCCAATGAATTCAATGCTTATAACTAACCTTGAGGAAATGCCAAATGGAGTGCGGAAACATGGGACACCTCTTTGCCTTCTGCGTCTAAATGCCTGGTCAATAAGTTTGGACTCTGAGGGTGGGTCTATCCTCCAGAAAGAACCTTTTCCAGGTTCCTCTTGAGACCGGGGCACTTTGATGAAATACCGGTTCAAGGACAAATTGTGACGAATTGAGTTCTAGCAAACATTGAATCAAATAGATTAGGAACATTCTAACAAATTTGGAGCCAAATTAGTCAATTCAGAGAGGATTGCATTAAAGCATTATTTTAATCATCCTGTAAATTGAGAATAAGGTCTGGACATTAAACCTTCCTTGAAAAAAACCATCTGACCAAGATGAATGAAGACAGTTTTGGGTGATCTGACCAACTTTGCACACATTGCTGAGACAACTTGCCAGATTTTAAGTTCTGTCAAATTTATCCCATTATAATCCTGTTATAGTCTATATGTTCATTTGTTTTATTTTTATATGAACCCAAGTAACTCGACTACAGTTTCGATATGATAAACTTATGAAGTTTAACTGAACTCAGATTTTGCTTATAACAACATTTATTTTGTTTATTTCATTTCCCATTAATCACATTACACATTTACACAACACACATAAATTTTGAATATTTTTTTTTTTCATAAGTTTGGCAATAGTGAATAATCCTTTAAAAAAATAAGATATTTAAAGAGGTTTATTATTCCCAGATTCAACTGGGGAGCTCAAAATTTCTGCCAGCACACATAACAAAAAGATCATAAGAAAATTGTGAATTAGTGCAATGTCATGTTCTTGTAATGAACAAAAATGATAAAAAAAATGTTTTTAAGGGTGAATTTGCGAGGAAAAAGAACTACAGAAACATATTGCACACACTGCATTTGAAAAAGTTCAGACTTTACTGAGCTTATAAAAGCAGCAGGTAAAGGCAAAGGAGTGAGGATTTTTATTTTATTCCAGGGTAGTCTACGAAATGTTTTACCTGCCATCCTTTATCTGCCGTACGGTAGTAAGGATAGTGTTTTGTTATGTAAGAATATATGCCACTCAATGTCAACTGTTTGTCTGGGGCTGATGCCACCGCTTGTACAATTAGCTGAGCGTAAGAAAACGGTGGTTTTGTTTCGTCCTGGGAAAAAACCAAACAGTAAATTAAAAAGACAAATAAACTAAAATGCCTCTATCAAAATCTGACAATTTTTTAACAGGACCGGCAACTTTTTTGGACAATATTCTAAAAGACCTCTTAACAAAATGAATTTTCGAATTATTGAAAACAACTTTAACTTATTATTTGGTAAAAAAGAATTTCTGAAGGGTTGACAGGATTTGCCACAATAAAAACAAATTAACTGCAAAAATTCCTCTACTGTGTCATGATCTGCATGATCATCAATGACTAAAATCAGACAGGGTACAATAATTATGCGAGAGACAGTAGGGAGGGAGAGGTTGTAGTTCACCTGATCACCTTCTTTAGTTTTACGTTTGCCTGCTCAAATCTTTCAGACCAGAAATCTTGCACTTAATTTCATTTTGATTATTTAATGCCTTCTATATCTATCTTACTAAAAGTATTGTGAACATATTGCCTCTTGACATTTCTGATTCTTATTGTTAAATTTCATCAACTTATTTTGATTGTGCAAGATGACACTCATCTTTACTGAGCTCATAGTCTTGCTTTAAGCAAAAATAACAACAGAATTGATGAAGACATGTTAAATTCTAGCTGAGAACAAGTGCTTCATGAATGTTTTTAAGGTCTACATTGGCCTAAAAATTTCTGATTTTAGTTCTGAAGATTGCAATGAATTTTACCAACATTCATTATCGCTATCCATGATTAGTAGAGGGAGGAAAGAATAGAGCTTGATTTTCATAAGTAAGTGGATCTTACCTGGAAGCCTCATAAAAAATCAAAACCAATCTAAACATAAGAATGACTTAAAAAGTCCCACAACGGACCACTATCAGGTAAAAATGCTCAATTTTGCATTGAAAAAACAACTAATTAGAGGGCTCCTCTTGTTTGAAGCAAGAGGATGCTTGTGTCATCTTGTCTTATTGACTTTCATAGGAAGTATTGTGATGCTAATTCTAACTACAATAACACCTCAATTTCTTGAATTTCACAGAACTAACAAATCTAATTGTTAAATTGCGGAATCTATCAATTCGAATATCCATTAAATCACAATCCGACAAATTGAGGTCGTACTGTAAGAATAAAAACTAATTAAGATCCATTAAAAGCGATAAAGGAACAACACAGAATCAGCAATACCTTTGGATAAGATTCAGAAGCTGAAGAATTATGTGAAGGTCCGGATCCGTTTGTGGCTCTGTACATTTTCTGAGGAGAAAACGAACTAACACTTTCTGCCAGTTGTAGTTCTGGACTGCTGTGGACACTAGAACCGCTAACAACAACCTCAGTCCTGTAAAAAGGAAAGAAAACAAATGATTACTTGACAAATTTTTTCCAACATGTAAAACTCCTTCAGAAAAGAGTAACTATTTAATCCTAGAACATACTGGGCTATGCTGTAGACTATGGTGGAGCTAAGAAAACGCTAACACAGAAAAGAAGTTGCTAAATTATCTCAAAAACAAGCTGTAAAAATTTGAAACAAATATCCCAACTCTCAAGTCTGACCTCTTGCTATTTCATAGAGTACATAGAGTCGTAATGTAAATGGGAGAGCTGGCACCACTTTTAAGCATTATCCGCCGGGTCACTTTTTCAATACAGAGTGACCTGGCCATGCGATATAAACAAACATGATAGGAATTATTCCACGTTCTACAACGCCATTTTGGATTGAAAATGCATCGAAAAAGTGACCGAAGCTTGGTGCACTCCGGGCTCAGAACTCGTCTACCATAACATAGCGCCAGCTCTCCCATTTACATCACGACTCTACGTGCTATTTAGGCAATGAAAATTTTGAGTAGGTAGCCAGTGTCAAGCCTTCCAGGGAGGCAGAAAATTCTTCACCTTCCCATTTTCAAACTGGCCTACCTATTTTAAAACCTTTTAACCCAAAATTTTAAAAACCACGACCTGTAGAGCGTGTTGTGAATCCACAAAGTGCCGCAATTTAGAGATTAAGAACACCCACACTTCTACAAAAAACATGCAAACGTCATAGCGTTATTGTTGCAGTTGCAAGCTGGCCTTCCCATTTCTTCAAATAGCAGCCACGTAATTTGACCTTGTAATCAGGAAGTTTCTGCATCCTTGTATCCTTCTGCCTAAAGCCCTATCATATCATTTTTGAGGTTGCAAACAGCCTTGGTTAGCATCTTTTCTAAGCTTCTGCCATATTAAAAATCATAGCCCCTCTACTCTCAACATTAACAGTTTTCAACAAAATTCTCTGTAATGTAATTTCTCTCTTCCTTGTAAACTACGTTCCTAAACCACATTAAAACTAAAAGGTAAACAGTTAATTTTTGCATACCTTTCATCGATTGGTATCTGTACAGAGGTTGAGTTGGTTGCATGAGGATTCACAGCAGCTGCTGCGTAGACAGCAGCCATTTGTAAGTCAGCACTTATGTTGCGTCGTCCATGACCTCCTCTAGGACTCGTCGGACAGGAATTAGCAGCACTGGGAAGAAATAGGTCAAAATTAAGGTCAGATGTTCTGGTAATTGAAAATTCACTGAGAAATGTATACTACAATAAAACTATGGTTATTAGGAGAGTTGGCGACACCATTTATTGAATATCAGATATTCACTTCATTCTAATTAAAATGATTGAAAAAGAAAAAGTTTTTGTTTGGATCCAGCAAAAGTGTAGGAGAGAGTAGAAAATTACATAGGAAGATTACTTCAATTTTAAAATATCACACTACAGGGTGTCTATTTAAACAGGCTGGCCAAAAATCGGTACTTTTACAGCACATTCCTAGGAAATTCATAACAGAAAAATTCTGTATTTTCTCAGTCCCTCCATTTGACGAAATTTGATTACTTAATTTCGAAAATTTGAATTTCTCGCTCGAATTGCGACAAAAAATCCAGACCTACTGGCGGAATTCTCGAACTATTTCAGTACTTCCGGACCGCCCATAAAAAATCAGTGCTGTTTTCGGCAGTGTTTCAAACACTTGCCGGCCAAACAGCAATTTGCCCGTAAGAAAACACCTTTGGCCTCTAAGAAAATCGTTGTTAAACTCCCTTTTTGGGATTTTACTGCGCATTCTGCAAGGTGCCATGTTATGTTATGTTTTCAATTCTTCCCCTCCGTTTTCTTCAAGATTTGTGACACATCAGGTCTGACTCGAGGCATATGGAAAGGGCAACTTTCCATTTTGGCCCCTAAGAAAAAAAGTTGCAAGCCAGGTGGCTGCTAAGACTTCATGTCGAGTTTCAAACACTGATATACGGAAATTCCGGACATGTAGACATCCTGCATTACTAGTGAAAAACACTACAAAAATACTACTGAAGCAAATACTTGTGCAGTAGAGCAGACGCATCGTATGTTAAGACAAAAATCAAGTATTGTTTAGGTCACTACTCATCACTGGTGCCATCTGACTGCATGTATTAACCTGTTGAGTGGTGCTGATTCTGAGGTTATCAGAGCTTGACATTTGTCTCAACATACGATGCGTCCGCTCTAGGTGTCATGATTAAAAATAACAAAATAGAGCGTAAAGGGAAAATAATCATAGTTTGCACTTCTTCCTTGACCGAAGTAACTTAACCTGAAGTAAGACAAAACCTCTATTGTCAAGAGTGATACACTAGAAGCTAGATTGATTACAAACAACTTTCCTTACCTGATGGTCCCAGTAGGAGATGGGAATGGACTTGTAAAATTTGTATCTGAAGGTTCGGGAATATTAATTCTTAAGGGAGGCAACGGTGTTCTGTGTTTCACTGGTGACACAGGTGGACCAGATGCTTCTCCACTGCTGAGAATAGGTGTAGGATCAGACTCGTCCACCAGAGATTGAAACACTAACCGGATTGCAGTGCTTGGAAATCTGAAAGTACACCTAAAAACAAAACCGAAGGAAACTTTAAAACTACGTTTCACAGAATGAGTATGAGCTGCAAATTTAACAGTGATAAGTTTCAAGTATGCAAACGCTTTTCAACGAGCATTTCATTATTGCAGGTGTGAAAAAAATTGACATTATGTCCATCATTAATTATTGCCGTTGTGCAAAAAATTGACATAATGTCAATCATTATTCTTAGAACGCAGTGGATTAGGTTATCTGCTTGAGGTTAGGGTTGCTCGTAACCGCTTAACAACTACCTTGGACGAGCGATCCATGTGTTCCACTGGAATGGGTTGTATGGTGGCAGAAAAAATAACATGTTCTTGAAGTTCTCAGCAATCTCATTTTAAAGGCCCCTTTATCTCTAGAAATATCGATAAGATTACTTTCTTGTGACTCGGCATGTATCAATTGCCACAAATATACAAAAAAACATGTTATATTTACTGCGATTTCACAAACAGACACTGATGCACTTTTGCAAAAATACACAATTTTGCCAGCTTTCCCATTTCAAAACCATTTCCAGGGCCTCCCTATTTCCACATGCGACCAATCGCAACCCATCAAATCCCCCCGACCTGAGCTCGAGAAATTTTTGCACTTCTGGAGAGAGATGCACCGTTCGTATTTTTGGAATATGGCACTAGCATTCTACTTACTACCTACAATTCAGTTTAATGGCATAAATAAAAAAAATTAAGTCTCGTTTCAGTCCATTTAAACCCATCAAGGTCAGTCTAAACATCATAAGACTGAAAGCTGGCATGCGTTCCACTATTACTACTTCCGTTCAATGAATAAAAAGGAAGATTCAGCGCTTAATGCCAGATAATTCTATTCCAGAAGATGTTAAACACACCATTTGATCAAGTTTGTCTTCCAAAATTGTCAAACTTATTCTTTTAGCAAGTCTGTACAGACAGAAAAAATAAAATTTGACCAGTATTTATGTAAATGAAGTTGAAAAATATGAGGAACCATATGAATACGGATGTGTTAATATTTAGTAGGAATGACGATGGGCTAGTAAAATTTTGTAAAGAATACAAATTGAAGCGTAAAAGCTTGGGCATACAGCACAAACAACGCTTGCAAAAGTTTTAAATAACAAGAGGCTGACTTGATATGTGTCAAAGGAAAAATGTCGGTAAGAGATAATCAACTGGAGAAAATGACTTCATTAAAATTTGCCAGCCTCACTATGATCATTAAATGAATTAACAGTTTGCAGCCAATAACATTTTCTGGAGGGTAAATTCAGTAATTAGCAACCATGAACAAAAATTCAGGATTCATAACTGCAGTGCTTTCGAAATTTAGTATGTGGTTTTTTAATCATAAAAACATGTGCTGCATGATAATAAGGCTGCCTATCACAAGGAGAGATGACCTAGAAAAGGCCTAAAATTAGAAGTCATTGCAATGGAAGGGAAAATTAATAACGTGGAATGAGAGAGAAAATATCTTGAAATTGAAATTAAGTGGGCCGAAAGACGAGCTCAAAGATGATTTCGATTTATTTTGAAATAGGCCACTAGGAGCCATGACCGACAGTGGCCTTCAAGCAGTAAGTAAACAAGATACAGCAGGAACATGACCAATCCAACTCAACAACTCCATGTTTATGAAGGGAAGGAAGTCGAAATAGGCTTTGAACTTACGTTTTGGGCAATTGTACTGCAGGTGCACCTTTCCTCTGAAATACACCGTCGACAAAAACACCATTCTTGCCATTACAAACCATAAAAAAGTGCGGATGGTCAAAAAATAGTTCTAAATGTTTTCGAGATATGAAACTCGAGTGTCCCATGTTTACATCCACTTCGCCTCGCGAACTATTCCGGCCGATGATAATACGTTTTTGTCGTACAAGATACTCAAATTCTCTTCCTTCTAATCTTGCGATAGCCGTGCCTTTAGTCTCAGGACTCCATTGAACTTTCGAGGGACTAGCAGGGGCGGACTTCAGAGCTAGAAGTGCCCATGCATCGCTCTCCTGCGACCCGAGATTTGAGGACATCTTCTTTATCTTCGACGCCGCACTACTAAATATTCACGCACCAAATGTAGCCGATAAACAAAATACCACGAGACAACTAATTAGAAACCGTACTCCTTTTCCGCAACTTTTGTTTACCTAAAAAAAGCTTAGGTGGCCGGACCGGGGTCGAACCACGTGACGAGATTTCGTGAGCGATGCGCGACTGCTTGCCTCAATAGTGAATTGCTACGAAGCGAACGATGCGAACGAAGGCGGTTTGCGACCACAACAATACGCGATGATGGGGCCCCGGTGGGCCTCGGGCTAGGGCAGAAGACAAGGGGTTCGTGGCTCAGTGCGGGGTTTGGGCCTCTGTTTACTTTAACATTTCAGCTATCCGATATTTTGTTTTCGAAAATATCCACTTCTTCCTTCGTGGCGCTACACTCGGTTTTTCTCACTTCGTATCATACGCTGTTGCCGCATTATGTAATTCGCCGTAGAATTGCGTAATAACTTCAGGAATTATGATCATGATCATTCTATAATGTTCTAGCCTTGATCCCTCCTTTCTGTTAGAGACTAAGAGACTAGCAGTTTAATGAAAAAATTCTTGCCTGGTCAAAACGGGATTTCAATTTTTAGCGTTCTTCGCGGCCAAGGATTTGTTCAATGAATTCGTTTAGATAATGAAACGCTCAAAAGTAAACTGACAACTCCGACTCAAGTCGTGCGAGCAATGAATAGACGTCATCAAACTATACCTTGATTACTATATTGACTTAGAGTACCTGTATAGCGAGAGTATGGACAGATGTGAAACTCCGAAAATCCATCAGGCCTTCACCGATGCTTCTGCGAATAAAGTTAGGGCCCAGAAATGCAGCCAACCTATGAATTTCAATTATCCAGAACGATTTACTAATACTACTGTTACGAACCGTCGTTTATTAAGCACGTGTTTGACTCAGTTTTTGCATAAATTTACTCAATTTTGCGGAAGAACGCTTATTTATGTACATTCTTGGCCATCTTGGTTAGAATTGGAACCTGCAGACTGGCAGTGAAATTTTGTGCGTTAGAAGTTGGTTAGAAGGGTGGCTGCACTTTTGGGCCCTAAGCCCTCCATGAAGCGATCTGTCCATACTCTCGCTATACAGGTACTCTATATTGACTGTGCACTACTTATTATTATACCTGTTGTCGCCGGTTTTTATTGCACATTTCTGAAACCATGGAAGTCGGCTCGGCATTTTCTTGCCGAATTTTCTTGAAGGTCAAAAAGGGACCATAAAAAAAAACATATCATACTCTTTTTAATATCAAATCGCGTGAGAGCAACGTGTATCGCTCTTACAAGGGTAGTAAGTAAGGGTCCATAAAAGAAAGAAAACGGCCTTACATATAATCCGAAAATGAAAAAAGGGAGTGGGAAATACCAAAAACATTCAGCGGTGTTATGCGGTGTATTTGTGTGGTGGTGAGCGAGAAGCGAGGCCGTTGGTGAACTCACCACAAAAGCATTTAATTGGGGGCGGCACTTAGTGTCTCCCAAACAGCACACAAGCTTGCAGCAAGATTGATATCGCATACGAGTTTGCCGCAAACTCATTTTTGCACAATTTTTGAAAGACACTTCTTTAATTATAAACCACCCATTTGCTAAATACAAGTCTAGCTGAAGCGCACTTAAGCGCATTCATGACTGCAAAAATGTTAACGGAAATCGAAAAGGCCAGCGTGCATGAAGGCTATTTAAATTGCAATCTTTCGTCGCATTTCTAAGGCGCAATGATACGACTATTTGAACTCTCCGGAATGTGTGAGGTATCACGCCGCATTTGAAGGCGTTTTCAAAACAGCCAAGTTCCGTTATCGGAATAATCGTTTTGCATAGTTCATATTATTTTGTTTCAATTTCTAAACACTTGTTTAATTATAATCCTCCTATAAAAACCACCCATTTGCTAAATACAAGTCTAGCTGAAGCGCACTTAAGCGCATTTATGACTGCAAAAATGTTAACGGAAATCGAAAAGGCCAGCGTTTATGAAGGCTATCTCCATTTAAATCTTCCGTCACATTCTTACGGCGCAATGATACAACTATTTGAACTCTCCGGAATGCGTGAGGTATCACGCCGCATTTGAAGGCGTTTTCAAATCAGCCAAGTTCCGATACCCGGATTATCGTTTTGCATAGTTCATATTCTTTTGTTATATTCCGTGCCACTTGTTTATTTTTAATCCTCGTAGAAAAACCACCCATTTGTAAATACAATTCTAGCTGAAGCGCATTTCAGCTATGCATTCACCTCTTCAAAAATTTCAGAGGAAATCGACAAGCCCAGCGTGCATGAAGGCAGGCCCGCCACAAGGGGGGGATACTGGGTCCCTGGTACCGGGGCCCGTGTTACCCGTTAAAAACCACTACGAATTCACATGCAACCCTTGTTTCGTAAGATAAAGTGAAAAATTTACCCTAAAAATTTCGCATAAGGTGAATAGATTTTCAGAAACACGCTGGGGCACTGTAGAATTCTTCTTAAATTTTCAAAGAAGTATACTTCTTGGAAAATTTCTATCTATTTTCAAGATTTTCAGTACAGAGAGATATTTTTAGTAACTGCGTTTCATTTTCTTCCGTCGTCAGATGCTAAGAGTCTCCAGTCTGGGCACCCTCGACTTCAATGGCTCATGGCGCAACTCCCTTGCCATAGACAAACGAAGGGGGAGTCAAGGGGGGGCCTGGCCCTCTTAGAACTGAAAATAGTATCAAACCCCCCCCCCCCCAAAAAAAAAA